ATCAGGGGGTGGCAACGTGAGGTTGAGAGGGTGAGGTGAGGGGGTGAGGTTGAGAGGGTGAGGTTGAGAGGGTGAGGTTGAGAGGGTGAGGTTGAGAGGGTGAGGGTGAGGGGGTGAGGTGAGGGGGTGAGGTGAGGGGGTGAGGTTGAGAGGGTGAGGTTGAGAGGGTGAGGGTGAGGGGGTGAGGTGAGGGGGTGAGGTGAGGGGGTGAGGTTGAGAGGGTGAGGTGAGGGGGTGAGGGTGAGGTGAGGGGGTGAGGTTGAGAGGGTGAGGTGAGGGGGTGAGGTGAGGGGGTGAGGGTGAGGTGAGGGGGTGAGGTGAGGGGGTGAGGGTGAGGTGAGGGGGTGAGGTGAGGGGGTGAGGTTGAGAGGGTGAGGTGAGGGGGTGAGGGTGAGGTGAGGGGGTGAGGTTGAGAGGGTGAGGTGAGGGGGTGAGGTGAGGGGGTGAGGTGAGGGGGTGAGGTTGAGAGGGTGAGGTGAGGGGGTGAGGTGAGGGGGTGAGGGTGAGGTGAGGGGGTGAGGTGAGGGGGTGAGGTTGAGAGGGTGAGGTGAGGGGTGAGGGTGAGGTGAGGGGGTGAGGTGAGGGGGTGAGGTTGAGAGGGTGAGGTGAGGGGGGGAGGGTGAGGTGAGGGGGTGAGGTTGAGAGGGTGAGGTGAGGGGGTGAGGTGAGGGGGTGAGGGTGAGGTGAGGGGGTGAGGTTGAGAGGGTGAGGTGAGGGGGTGAGGTGAGGGGGTGAGGGTGAGGTGAGGGGGTGAGGTGAGGGGGTGAGGTTGAGAGGGTGAGGTTGAGAGGGTGAGGTTGAGAGGGTGAGGTTGAGAGGGTGAGGTGAGGGGGTGAGGTGAGGGGGTGAGGTGAGGGGGTGAGGTTGAGAGGGTGAGGTTGAGAGGGTGAGGGTGAGGGGGTGAGGTGAGGGGGTGAGGTTGAGAGGGTGAGGTGAGGGGGTGAGGGTGAGGTGAGGGGGTGAGGTTGAGAGGGTGAGGTGAGGGGGTGAGGGTGAGGTGAGGGGGTGAGGTGAGGGGGTGAGGTGAGGGGGTGAGGTGAGGGGGTGAGGTTGAGAGGGTGAGGTGAGGGGGTGAGGGTGAGGTGAGGGGGTGAGGTTGAGAGGGTGAGGTGAGGGGGTGAGGTGAGGGGGTGAGGGTGAGGTGAGGGGGTGAGGTGAGGGGGTGAGGGTGAGAGGGTGAGGTGAGGGGGTGAGGGTGAGGTGAGGGGGTGAGGTTGAGAGGGTGAGGTGAAGGGGTGAGGTGAGGGGGTGAGGTGAGGGGGTGAGGTGAGGGGGTGAGGTTGAGAGGGTGAGGTGAGGGGGTGAGGTGAGGGGGTGAGGTGAGGGGGTGAGGTTGAGAGGGTGAGGTGAGGGGGTGAGGTGAGGGGGTGAGGTGAGGGGGTGAGGTTGAGAGGGTGAGGTTGAGAATGTGACGTTGAGAATGTGAGGTGAGTACCAATATTATCAATAAATTAGTTTTTTTTGGGTTTGATCGCGTAAATTTAAATGTGTCTTTAAACCCGCCACCACCCGACACAGTCAATTGGGAAAGTTTGTCCCAGGAACAAAACGTGTCCATTCGTTACCAGTACAGCACACGCCGCTGTGTTTGGAGAGTAAACTCACAACACCCACAATTTACTCTCCAACACACCGGAACTAGGAACTAACGAGTGACTAATTGGCACGTTCTGTGTACGTGACAACGGCTCACTAATTAGCTGTGTCGGATGGTGGCGGGTTTAACGACACATTTATATTTACGCGATCTCACCCACCCCCCCCTCTCTAGATTTTGATCATATTGGTCGCAAAAGGCCAACTACTACTACGTGTTAAACGCTCAATGCAGCATGCTACACCTTGAGTGGCGTTGAACAAAAATGTATCCCTTGGTGCCGATTGTAATGAGTCAATCGTATTAAAGATGAGTCAGAGTTGCCCGTCTCTCGCCTCCCATTGTTATTCTTGGAGTCAAACTCAAGTGGCCCGGCATACTTAGCGGGGCAAAGCGAACCCCCCCGTCCTTACAAACACACACACAATACAATGACAAAGATCTCCCGCGTGATAGCCTTTAACAGACTGTTGGGGCAAGTGCTGTTAGCGAGCACCTATGAAGGCCGGCAAGGCACACGAGGTGGTGGGTGGCCAGCAGCACGCTCGGCCGCCTTTGTCTCTCCAGTGGCGATGTTTTCACACCGCACCCAGGTACTCATGTGAGTACCTGGACCGGTTCATGATAAGCGTCTGTCTTGAATTTAAGATATCTTTCTCCCCGAAAGACCTGGTCTTCACCTGAGGACGGCTGCTTGCGTTGTGGCCGAAACGTCGTGAGAATTATTTTATTATGTTTTATTTTTATTATTTTATTATTTCCCTTCTACGTGACTTTACCGAAAGAACCAAGAAGATGAATCCCTGCAGTCACGAAAGCTTTAAATCGAAACTTAAACTTGTTTCTGACTAAACAAACGTACAGTGTACATAAATGCGTACACACATTCACACGAGCCCTGGGTCTGATTGTGTTTTGTTGGGATGCCATAACGAACGTATAAGGTTCATAATTGCCACGATGTCAGACACCTGCGCCAAATGAGATCGTGGACTCAAGGTTGAAGTCCTGAGGTTTGGGTTCCCCTCTCTCTGAGAGGGTTCATAATGGGGCGTTCCTGGTTCATAATGGCCATGTCAGAGACACTGAAACAACGCTATCTTTAGTTAGAGGTTCAAACTCAGGATCTTCACGTGTTTCTCTCAGAGAATTACTAATGGTCATGTCAGAGACACTGAAACAACGCTATCTTTAAATTTTGATTTAAAGCTTTCGTGACTGCAGGGATCTATACTCCTGTTTTTTTAGGTAAAGTCACGTAGAAGGGAAATAATAAAATAAGATACATATATTTTTATTGTTTTATATTTCTATATTTTTATTAATTCCCTTCTACGTGACTTTACCGAAAGAACCAGGAGTAACGCTATCTTTAGTTAGAGGTTCAAACCCAAGATCTTCACGTGTCTCTCTCAGAGAATTAATAATGTCCATGTCAGAGACACTGAACCAATGATACAGATATCTTGAACTCAAGATTTTAAACCCAGGATCTCTCAGATAATTCATCATGGCCACCACCAATTAAGATCCCTGGATTTGAATCCGGATTTTTATTTGTTATCCATCCGTCCGTGCAGAAGGCGGGCTGTGGTAGGTCCCGTGATGGATGATGGTGGATGTCTCAGACCGGTCACCCATGCCTGCACATTATTACTTTAGAAAAAAAAAACGTGCATCAGTCATAGGGAAATTATTTACGCGGCCAAACCGCAGCCACTCAGCTTCTCCTGGGTGGGACTCCTGGCCCAGTTTGCACAGAGCACCTGAACTCGGGAATTCCCAGTATTGCCTCACTGACAGCACAGCGACACAGCAACATTCATCATCAGCAGCCAGGTATCTTTGTGTGTTGAACTTCTATCTCGACTTGAAGCTTTCGTGACTGCAGGAATCCATACTCTTTGGTTCTTTCGGTAAAGTCACGTAGGTATTTAATAAAATAAATCATCAGGTGATGACGGACCCTTGTGTTGCGCCCGAAACGTCGTGATTTATTTTATTTTATACCTATTTAACTTCTTAAACAGTAGCCAACCGTGCAAATCGGAGGCGCGGGGGAAAACAACACTAAAGACACAAAGCAGTTATCAAGAAAGTGAGTTTTCAATCGAGATGATGATTTAAAATTGCATAGCTCCAGTGGCTCCCTCATATCGGAAGAGAACGTTCCAGACGGCCGCATGGCCAATCCACTGCTGGATGAAGGCCTACCCAAGGCACCTCTCGCGATCCTGCGATGTGCACATCCACCCAGCACTTGCACAGAAAGTTGATACTGGCAGGAACCTTCTGGTTACACCAGCCCACAGGGGATTATTGTGTCCGTCGTGCAGGGAGGGTCTGGGTGTGGAGGGAGGGGCTGGGTGGGCAGGGTGGGGAGGGGCTGGGTGGGGAGGGTGGGGCAGGGTGGGGAGGGAGGGGCTGGGTGGGCAGGGTGGGGAGGGGCTGGGTGGGGAAGGTGGGGAGGGGCTGGGTGGGGAAGGTGGGGAGGGGCTGGGTGGGGAGGGAGGGGCTGGGTGGGGGGTGAGAGGGGTGGGGCTGGGTGGGGAGGGGCTGGTCACCCCGTGGTGCCCTTATAAAACTCAACGTTTAACCTACTCACGCCGACTTGTGCCCGCCCTCACAGTCGGGCATATTTGCGGAATACACCACGCCGCCGTTGACCCTGCAGGCCATTGACCGAGCAACCCAACGTTCCTACCAGCTCCCTCCTGTGCAGGAATGTGTTTTAACCGCTCCATCTCCTCGGCGATGTCTCGGCCCATCATCATCCAACCGCCGTGGTCGATACAATACATCCCACTTTGTGGAGACAGGCAGGCGACGACAGTGAGTGGCGGTTGTCCTGTGGATCGACTCGCTCCCGCCAGAGGAATGGGGATTTTCCACCAGCGGATCGAGGGCTGCAAACGGGAGATGAGAACCAATGGATCGATGCTCATCCGAGTGGCGTGGCACCGTCACGTTAGTTTGGATTGTCGCCGGTAACTCGCCTCCTCCTCCTCCTGCTTCCAAGTGTCTGTCCCGACGCACATGAAACAAAACAAAAAAGCGTGCGACATATCGTATGATGTACCGTCTCGTGCAATATATCGTATCGTGTAATATATGGCATCGTCCAATATATCGTATTAGACGCGATATATCGTATATCGCGATATATCGTAAGGCGCGATATATCGCATCGTGTCATCTATCCTGCGATATATTGTATCGTGCGATATATCGTATTATATATCGTTTTATGCAACATATCGCGATATACCGCGCCTTACGATATATCGCGATATATCGCAACATATCGCGGCATATCGCGATATATCGCGCCTTGCGATATATCGCGATATATCGTCCGCAGTGGGCGGAAGCTCAGAGGCGGCTGTGGCGCGGGGCAGTCTGGGAGGCCGGAAACGCGCTGGTGCCGCCCTTGAGCTCCCCCTTGTCCCCGTCATGGCCGCCTCCGTCTCCTCGTCTCTGCGGCCGCTGCTGCTGCTGCCGCGGCTGCTGCGCGGCGCCCTGAGCCCGCGGCTCCCCCTCCTCGGGGCCCGAGCCCCGCGGTGCGCGGGGCCCGCGGGGAGCCGCGGCTACGCGGAGCCGGCGCCCGCGAGCGCGTCCGGCATGGCGCTGACGTTCGCCTCCCCGTACCAGGTGAGGGCCTCCACCCGCAACGGCGTTCACGCGACACTCTCAGCACTCACACGGCACTCGCACAACACTCACTCAACACTCACTCAACACTCACTCAACACTCAAGGCGTTCACTCGACACTCTCATGGCACGCACACAACACTCACACAACACTCACTCAACACTCACTCAACACTCACGGCGTTCACACGACACACTCAGCACGACACTCACAACGCTCACGACGTTCACACGACACTCACAACACTTACACAATACTCTCAACACTCATACGACACTCCCAACACTCCCACCATTCATACAACACTCCAAACACTCACACAACACTCCCACAGCACTCAACACTCTCACAACACTCACTCAACACTCCAAACACTCGCAGAACACTCCCATGACACTCCCAACACTCACACGACACTCAGCACTCCCACGACACTCGCAACACTCACATAACACCCAACACTCACGACGTTCACAACGACGCTTATCCCACCATCCACGGCGCCCCGCGCACTCTCTCACTTTCTCCGATACTCTGTCCACCCATCTGAAGGTCTCCCCCGTCACAATGCATCATCATCGGGTCTCAACATCCCCATGTCCGAGTTGCTCGTGTCCCTGTCTCCCAGTGTCCGTGTCGCCGCACGTCTCTGGCTGCCAGTCTTCGTGCCTCTCCCCGTCTCTCCCTCCCTGTTTGCGGCTCTCCCCGTCGCAAAGATCGTTCCTGACGCTCGGGTCCCGGCCCCGGGAGCCCGTCGCAGTGGCTGCGTGTGACACCCCCGTGACGACATCGCCGCTAGACCCGCACGCCCGTGCGTGCGACCTCTTGCCCTTGGCATGTTCATTCCTTGGCATTTGCCATTTATCTCTTCAACGATGCAGCCACTCTGTCTTTTCAGGTTTACTCTCACCCAGCCCCTCCGCCAGGACCTCACATTTTGCAAGCCCTTCCCGCGTTTCACGCGCGTCCGTGCCTTTTACCCCCCGTGTCACCTTGCCCCCAGCCTGTGTCCCCATGCCTCCCTTGACCCTCCCTTGACCCCGTCTGTCTCGTGCCCATTGTCTTTACGGTCCGTGACCCCTACGTCCCCCCCCTGTGTGTCATGTGCCTTGTCTCGTCTGACCCTGGGCGATGTCTCCCTTCAAATGACATTTGTCCCATGCCCCGTGTCCTGAGTGTCCTTGTGACCCGTACCCTAACGCCCCCACGTGTCATGTAAAACAAAAACCTCTCAACTTCTTTCGCCCAGTACGTAGTCAATCGTGCTAATCCGAGGTGCTGTCTCTTTGTGACCCCATTACCTGTTTGTTTCTCTTGTATTCCATGTCCCTGTGCCTCTTATATCACCGTGTCCCCGTGCACCGCATCTCTTGTATCCCCATGTCACCTTGTCTCTTGTATCCTCGTGACCCTGGTCTCTTGTGTCCTCTGCACCACGTCTCCGTGCAGGTGTTCTTCAACGGCGGAGGTGTGCGCCAGGTGGACGTGCCCACGCTCACCGGCATGTTCGGGATCCTGCCCAACCACGTGCCCACGCTCGCCGTGTTGCGCCCTGGTCTTGTCACCGTCTTCAAGGACGACGGCACCAGCGCAAAGTTCTTTGGTGCGTGGCCCTCCCCATCCCACGGCGGTGGTCGTAGTGATATTGACTGCGGTGGTGGTGGCGTCCGTTGTTCGTGCTGTGCTATGTGATTTGTGTGGTGGTATCGTGATGGTTGTGGCAACAGTGGTGGCGGCGACAGCGGTGATGATGGTGACCAATAGTGGTGTTGCGGCTTGTGCCGTGTTGCGTGGTGCATGACTGGTGCTGTGGTGGTAACGTTGATGACCACTGCGGCGGCGGTTGTGGCGGGTTTATGGTTCGTGCCGTGACGCGTAGCGCGTGGTCTTCCCGCAGTGAGCAGCGGCTCCCTCACGGTGAACGCCGACTCCTCCGTGCAGCTGCTGGCGGAGGAGGCGGTGCCGATCGAGCAATTGGACGTGCAGGTAACCCGCCTGTGACACCCGCCCGTCATACCTGTCCGCCATAAACTCGCGTGACTGCGTGTACACGTAACCGTGTGTACATGACGGCACGCGTGTCACACTGTGCGACTATGCTTCGGTGACTACGTGTACATGTCTATATGACTGCATGCACAGGACGCCGCATGTACACAGGGGGGACACGTGCAGAAATTCTGCGTCACCGCGTGACTGTGCGTGACACGGTGTACGTGTGACCGCGTACGTGACGTCGCGTGTACGTGTAACCGCGTACGTGACGTCGTGTGCGGCTCGAATGTACAGGCGGCGCGTGCCGAACTGGCGCGAGCCCAGGGTGAGCTGTCGGCGGCGGCGGGGGAGATTCCCCGGGCGGAGGCGCTCATCGCCGTGGAGGCGAGCGAGGCGCTGGTCAAGGCGCTGGAGTAGAACAGCGCCAGTCGTCTGGCCTGCTCGCCCACCTCACCATCATCACCCCTCGTCACACCCACACCTGGGTCTCGCCCCCACTAGTGACCCCTGCAGTGGCCCACCTGCTGCCCCCGCCCGCCTCCCTACGCGCATCTGTGCACGGGTGAAGCACTAATAAAAAGGTTTATTTAAAACACAGCGCTCGCAATCCTAACTTCCTGTCTCTCATTTGCCAGTGTGGATGCTTGCCGCGTGCGTGTGTGTGTTCCTTGGGAGAAGCGGTTGTGTAGCGGACATCGCGCTGCACTACGAACCTGGCGTCCCGGGTTCGATTCCCGCTCACGGCCAACACCAGTGACGATTATCTAAGCCGGTTCTGGGCCTCCCCTAGGTCGACTCAGCCTCAAATGAGTACCTGGCGCAGTCTAAACATCACTACTAGGGAGATAAAGGCGGCTGGGCGTGGTGTTGGCCACCCACCCCCTCGTGTGCCGTGCCGGCCTTCATAGGTGCTCGCTAACAGTACTTGCCCCTCCAGTCTGTTAAGGCTATACGGGGGATATTTGTCTCTTTGTTCCTTGGGATAAGCGGTTGTGTAGCGGACAGCGCGCTGCACTACGAACCTGGCGCCCCGGGTTCGATTCCCAGTGGCGATTATCTGCACCGTTCCTGGGCCTCCCCTACGTCAACTCATAAATGTCGCCACTGGGGAGACAAAGGTGGTCGGGCGTGGTGCTGGCCATCCACCTCTTCGTGTACCGTTCCGTCCTTCGTAGGTGCTCGCTAACAGCACTTGCCCCAACAGTCTGTTAAGGCTATACAGGGAATCTTTATCTTTTGTCCTTGTGCATCCAGTGTGATGTGTGGTGACGGTGTTGAGTGCAGCGTGTGTACTGCTTGTAGTGTGCGATAAGTGTCGTGTGGGTGTATTGAACGCCAGTGTGTGGTGAATAGAGTTGCAACAAGACGAATATTAAAATTATATTTTTGTCGTCTTCCATTAAATACAAATGAGAAATAGTTGCATGACTTAGTTAATACATTCCATGCTAGATGCTGAATGGGCCAATAGTGCAAAAATACTCCCCCCACCAACAAAGTCTCGAATGAAATGATAAGAATTACTACAATTTACAACTTTAACGGCGACTAAAACCATTACATTAAATGTGAACCACAGCGATACTGCAACAGTTACTGATGAATTACACTGCATTGGCGATAATATTCAGAGAAATAGGATCAACACGAAAAATAAGCTTACTCAAACTATTACAAGCGTAGTGACATCGCGGGATGTCACTGTGCAGTGCCGGCCCTAAAGGGGCCCGGTGAGCGCTGATTGATAGCGCTGGATGGCATCACGCTTGGCGTGCAGTGCCAGCCCTACAGGACAGGGTGTAGGAGTGCCGGCCGTAGGAATGAGATTACTAAAGGCCATGGCACTTTGGTTGACACGTGACCAGTTAAGTCAACAAAGGGGCCCAAGTGGAGGCTAGGAGTGGTCACGTGGTTAGCATCCAGATCCTGCCCAAGGTTTCTGGAAGGTGGTCGTGGCCATGGGTGAGGCCAGCCACGCCGCAGAGAATATAAGCCGGGTCCCCAGAGGGACCGGCGTTGTTCATCCTGAAGAAACCTTTGTCTACGTTCTCCGAGTCTCCCACACGTGGACCTGGACCCGAGCTGTGGTCCGATCCGTAGTAGCAGTTACGTTGTAATTAGTGTAGTTAGCCTGGTGGTCACATTCTGTTTAGGAGTAGTTACCCCGTGTGTTGGAGTTAAATAAATGTGTTGCCTCCAAGTCAACGTCTGCGACTCGGGTCGAACTCGCTATACAAGTGTGAATCGATACAAAGTAATCCAATGAACCTGAAATATATACTATTTTTTTTACTATTTTTTACCAGGCAAGGCCCACTGAGCTATACAGCTCGTTTTCAGAAGCGACCTGACCACAAATCATAGCGCAACGAAGTGGCTAATTACGGGAAATTTATAGCAGCCAAATGTTCGAAACGCAAGTTTCTAAATGTGGAGGGAAACGTGGAGTACCCGGAGAAAACACGCAAACTCCAAATATACAGGAGTCAGGGTCTGGATCGAACCCACGACCCTATATACCAGGCGAGGTAGTTAACATTTAGCCACATCTCGCCATCGAGCTGTTAACGTAATATAGTTGTAATATACAACTGTATTAGGTCTTGCACTGGTACTCTTGCATAACAACTCATGCTTAAATTATAACATGATACTGGCATCATATTTGGATTCCAAGCGACACTTTTCCCCTTGTATTTTAAAGACAAAGTGTAGCGTGAGTGGTGTGCATCGTGTGTGTTGGAAAACGAGAGTGGTGAGTGTTGAGTAGTAAGGTACAGTGAGTGATGTGTAGAGTGCGAGTGTTGTGAGTGAGCGGTGCGTTTGTTGTCTCCGTCACAGCTTGTACTTGCTGATGAGCTCCTTCAGCATTGCGTGCACGTCCGCGCCCTCTGCATCTATATCCATCTCCAGGAACTTATCCACGAGCAATTGCCATCTACAGCAGCAGAAGCACACCATCCCACACTCAACATCACACACTCAGTCGTCCCACACTCGCCGTCACACACTCAGTCGTCCCACACTCAGTACCCCACTCACAGTCACACACTCACAGTCACACACTCACAGTCCCACACTCAGTCCCCCAACAACCGCCATTCGCCACGAAGTGGCGGTGACGTCACCACGATTCTTGTGCCAGGCTATGTGCACCTTGAGGCCACGTGAAGTGTCGAACGCCCGCTGGCAGGAGGTCACGGGGCAGACCCAGCAGGTGCCACGGGTCGACTGACTGAGATGACTGGCTGATGCACCACCTGTGTCCCCTACTGTGCCAACTTGCTGTGCTTTAGTCACCCGGCGCTCTGCTCGTTGTTGTGAGCGTCGCTCCTCCACCCTCCGTTGTTGTTGGAGGGCGACTGCCTCAAACTGCCCAATAGCAGCGTCCTTCACGAGCCTCCTCCACAGAGGCCGATCTTGACACCGCTGGTACCAGTCATCGGCAAGTCCACTCAGCTCCACATCCTCCTGTACCACATCACTCCATCTCTTCTCTCGCTCGTGCCGCGCCCGTTTAACCTCCTCGATCTGGCCGAATATGCGGGCTACATGGCCCAGCCAACACAGCCTTGCCTGCCGGAGGAGCTCACCGATGGGACTGTCCAGATCTTTCAAGGATTTGTGAGCTCCTCACACAATCCAGCCCGGTTAAACCCAGGATTCATCGTAGGCCGGCCAGCCTAAATGTTTCTAACCTGCGAATATGTTCCATTAGGGGGGTCCACGTTTCACAAGCATAGAGAAGGGAGGGAATGACTGTGGCCGAGAAGACCCGAAGCTTCGTGCGGAGCGACAGACCAGGTAGCTTCCACACAGTGTTACGCAACTGATGAAAAGATAATGCCGCTCACCTGATTCGGAGTGAGACCTCTGCTGTTAAACCGGAGTCGGTCATGAGCACACTGCCCAGGTATGGGAAACTCTTCACTCTCTCCACAACTGCCCCATCACTGATTGGGAGTTGTGGGGGTGGAGCGCCCAATGGTACAAAATACCCAGGCAGGTGCTTCGTTTTGGTGGGGCTGATGGTAAGGCCCCACCTCTTAGTGGCAAGCTCCAGGTTCAGCAGCAGCGCCTCCAACTCCTCTGAGTGAGCCGCAATTACCAGGTCATCGGCATACATAACGTGGTTGACCAATAGGGAGCCATCCCATGACCGCACCCGGGCATCGATCAGCCTCCCATTGTATCTGTACCAGATGGAAATTCCTCCGGTACAGCTACTGAAGGCTTCACAAACTACGTGGTCGAAATAGATGTTAAATAATGTTGGAGCCAGAGGACATTCCTGTCGCACCCCAAGGTGAACAGGGAATGGCTCCGACTCCCGGCCACGTAGTTTTACCCGGGCCCGCTCACCATCATGAAGGTTCTTAATGATCGTGAGCAGCGGGTCAGGGACTCCAAAAGCACAAAGAACAACCCAGAGCCCAGGCCGACTGATGGTATCATAAGCCTTGACCAGGTCAATAAAGCAAAGATGTGGGTCTTGTTGGAATTCCCTACACCTCTGCTGTAGCAAACGGACATAGAATATGGCATCTGTGCAAGCCCTCCCTTTCCTGAAACCATATCGGGGCTCCACAAGCCTCTCCTCAGAGTGCCTGGCAAGTCGGTGTTGAATAATCCTTGCCAGGACCTTTTCTGGCACACTGAGGAGTGAGATGCCCCTGTAGTTGTTACAGTCTTGTGGTCTCCCTTCTTAAAAATGGGGACCACCAGGGCATCCTTCCAGTCCTGCGAAACTCATCCAGTGGTCCAGACTGTTGTTATGATGTCATGTAGGGCAGTCTGTGCACAAACGCTACCCTCCCTCAGCATTTCGCTTGGGAGATCATCTCTGCCCGGTGCCTTTCCTGGTCTTAGACTCTGGATTGCCTTCAGTACTTCCTCAACAGATGGCACTTCAGACAGCAACTCAAAGGGGGTGACTTCCTCTTGCAATATTTGAGGCACCGCAGCCTCAGCAGGGTCATCCCCACTTTGTCCCACGATGTTTTCCATGTGGAGGGATTTCACCTCCCCCAGGACTTCACAAAAATGCTCAGCGAATCTGCAAATCTGTTCCTGGGGGTCGGAGATTGGATCACCGTTTTTCCCCTAATGATGGTAATAGGTGTGGCGCTGCAGGTTACTTTTTTGATGGAATTAAATAGGGATTTGTGATCGCGGGCCCTTGAGGCAGACTCCCATCTCCTTAGCAACCCGCGACCACCACCCATCCTTGCAGCGCCTCACGGCTCTCCGAACCTCCGAGCGAAGCCTGCGGTAAGCCTCCTCATTCTCCGACGTGGGATGCTGTAGCCGATGAGAGTGGGCCTGTCGCTTTTTTTCAGACAGCTTGAACACCTCCTCTGTCAGCCAGGGTCTCTGGGGAGGTCTGGACCGTGTACCCAAAGCAGCCATTGCAGCTGCCTGAGTCACAGTCCTTAACCTCACCCATTTACCCTCGACATCTGGAGGAGTAGGGGACGATGCCAACCCCAGCCGCAAGCGATGATGAAATTCTCGCTTGCAACTTTCATCAGCTAGCTGAGACCAGGCCACCTTAGGTTTGAATGGGGTCCTGGGTGTACACCCATCACCGGAGTGGAAGAATGGCAGGCACATCTTACAGATGACTAGTCGATGGTCAGAGGGTAGATCAGCTCCACGGTAGGTCCTGGTGTCAAGAACATGGGCCCGCATCCGCTGTTCCGTCACTACATAGTCCAGCAGATGTTCCTGCTTGGACCCGGCATGCATCCATGATGTTGTATGGATGCGCCGATGCCGGAACAGCGTGTTGGTAAATACAAGCCCATGGGCTGCACAACAATCTAGCAGCCTCCTACCGTTGTTATCGAGCTGATCTGGTCCATGCCTTCCAATAACTCCAGACCAGGTGCCAGCATCATGACCAACTCGGGCATTAAAGTGACCCAAAAAGATGACTATCCCGAGGGGCCACTTTAGCTAGCACCTGTGACAGGAGGTCATAGAAGGCATCTGACTCATTAGCCTTGCCTGCATCCCTCCACGGATGTTCGTCTTCGGTGGGGGCATAAGTAACCACGACCACCACTCCTCGCCTCCGGTTGATGGGAAGGCGAGCCCAAAATAGCCTGGGGCTTACAGCTTCCCACACCTCACCACCACGCTCCCACGCCCCCTTCATTATTTTGTTTCGAAGAATAGCCACTCCCTGTTGTTTGGCAGTCACCTGCCCCGACTATAGGACTGTCCACCCCTCATGGTGGCAGGAACCAGAGCCGGTCCACTGGACCTCCTGAATGCCACAGAGATCCAGGCGGTACCGGTCCAGCTCCCGACAGAGGAGTGGCAGCCTCTCCTCCGCAGTGAGCGTTCGAACATTCCACGTGGCCATCCGTAGTGGCTTTTTGTTGTTTCTAGAGGAGCCCCAAGGGTAAAGATTCAATCTCCTGGCTCCGCCAAATGGGGTTTGGCCAGGAGATGTCATAGACGCCTGTCCCCCCGAGGCCTCCAGCACAAGCTTGTTAATTACATTTTTCGGTCGTAGTTTAGTAGTAGTTAATTGAAGGTGGAGGGGTTACCAGCCCCTCGCACCCATTCAGAGCCCCCATTTAGCCGCTGTGGTGGTCACAGATGCCATGAGGGGAGAGGGCCAATCGGAATTGGCCCTCCCCCGCACAGCACTGTCCATGATAGCGTTGCCCGTCCGGCACCACGAGGAGGTAGGGGGTTGTTTTACCAGCCCCCCACTCACAGTCCCACACTCACAGTCTCACACTCGCCAACACACACTCACAGTCACACATTAAGTCCCACATTTGCCATCCCATGCTCCTCACCGTCCCACACTCAGTCCCACACTTGCAGTCCCACACTCGCAGTCCCACACTCGCCATCACACACTCAGTGCGCCGCACCCTTCACGCACTGCACAGTGTGCGCTGGTGCGGCGCACCATCGAGTGGTGGGCACCATAGTCACGGGATGTGTAGAACTGAGGTGGGTAAGACTGGTTGTAGCGTGCAGAGACTGGTTGTAGCGTGCAGAGACTGTGGGTCGTGCTGTGTAAAGCTGTGGTAGATTCTGGATGTGGTGTGGCCGGGAAAACCTCTGGTACTGCTTGTCGGCGGCCGCCTGGTCGATGCAAGGGATGGGCTTGTGGGTCTGGTAGCACTCCGACACCTGGCGAGGAGCACGGCCGGCGTGAGGGCGGCACCTTCACCTGGAACCACCTCCAGGGAACACACGTGCCTGGTGTGTGTGCGGTGTGTGGTGTGCGACGACTGCTGTCTGTGCGTGTGTAGCTATGGGGGGCGGTAGTAAAGCAGTTAGCGTGCTGCACTACAAATCCGGCGACCCGAGTTCGATTCCCGCTCATGGCCAACTCCACTGACGATTATCTGAACAGGTCCTGGGCCTCCCCTAGGTTGACTCAGCCTCAAATGAGTACCTGGTGCAGTCTAAACATCGCTGCTAGGGAGACAAGGGCGGCTGGGCGTGGTGCTGGCCACCTACCCCCTCGTGTGCCGTTCTGGCCTTGATAGGTGCTCGCTAATAGCACTTTCCCCAACAGTCTGTTAAGGCTATACGAGGGATCTTTATGTAGCTATGACAGATGTGTGTGTAACTATGACCGTTGTGTGTGTGTTTGGTGGCGATACACGTAAGGTGCTGTGTGTGATGCGAAACAGGTGTGGCACAGGCGAGAGAAGATATGGGGTGATGTGGTCCAAGAGGATGCGGGAGCTGAGTGTACTTGCCGATGACTGGTACCAGCGGTGTCAAGATTGGCCTCCGTGGAAGCGGCTCGTGAAGGATGCTACTGGGAAATTGTTGGCAGTCGCCCTCCAACAATAATGGAGGCCAGAGGAGCGAGAGCTCACAACAACGAGCGGACCGCTGGGCGGCTAAATTTCAGCAACGTACCCCATTGTATGCCATGTTGGCCTTATTAAGTGCGCGCTAGCAGCATTGGCCAGAGAAGTGTTTGTCGTGCTTGTCATGTGTATTTGCGTTGTGGTGCAATGTGTGCAAAGTGGTGGTTTGTGTCTGGCTGTTGCTTGATGAAGCTAGTTGTAACTACTGGCGAAACGTCGTACTCAGATTGTAAATGTTGTGGCTTTGCTCTGCAACACACCGGTGTGCTGTACTAGTAACGAATTGGCATGTTCTGTTTACGTGACAAACCTTACTAATGGGCTTTGTCGGGTGGTGGTGGGTTTAACGACACATTTATATTTACGCGATATAACCTAAAAAACCTCTGTAATGGGTGATTCACGTTTTGGAGGTGGTGCTAATGGTGGTGGTTCATGTCTGCCGCTGATGCTGGCGGAGAGGGCGATGGCGGTTATGTATGGTGGTGGTGGTGGTGGCGGCCACGTTGGGGCCCCACCGCCGCAGTGTGGCACCTCGGTGGCGCGCTGCAAGAGTTTGGCGGGCAGGCCGGTGTTCTGGGCCACGTTGACCGCGAGGCTGGAGTTGGCAGCACCGTCCCGCAGCTGGTAGAGGAACACAAGCTCCTCGCCCTCCTGCACTGTCTCGAACGTCTGCGACGCACGCGGCCGAGATAAAGGGCCGGTCACAACACAAGCGGCGGCCTTTATGCAGTTCCAGCCTCAGCGTCGGGGCTGGCTTCACCAGTCGAAGCGTCGACACTGAGCTATGCCACAACAAAGTGGCAAACTCAATGCTAGAACAACCTCGACATAGTGGTGGCCTCGACGTTGGTACCCTCAACACATTTTAGCCATCACATCGTGGCGGCGTGTGGCCCTGTCCGCACCACCCTGTCGTGCACCTTGTCAGCCTGTGCTCACACAGCACTTGTCTCAACAGTCCATATAGCCCATATGGTGAGTCTTTGTTACGTTCGAGTGTGTGCATGTTTACAAGTGTGTGTGTGTGGAGGAGGCTCGTGAAGGATGCTACCCGTGACGTTTCGCTGAATTCTTCCAAAATCGCCCGATGATGCTGGACGTAATTACCAGCGAAATGCCAGGGTACTCAAATTGTAAATGTTGTGGATTTACTCTCCAACACACCGGTGGTGTGTTGACATATCAGTGCAATAATTGTCCTAAATATTTTCAAATTCCTGCATCGTAATTGCACTCTGAACGGTTTAAAAGCATTCTCTGAGCCAGCCTACTAAGTTACAGGAAATGCATTTTCTTCAATATTGTTTATCTGGCAAACCTTTCTAATTGGCTGTGTCGGGTGGTGGCGAGTTTAACGAGACGTTTATAGTCACGCGATCTAACCCAAAAAAACCTTCATTATGAATACAATTGGTCGCGAAAGCCTTACTACGTGTCAAACTAAACGAGGGGGGGGCGGGGGGGGGAAGTCTTTGTCTTTTGTGTCTTTGCCACGAGCACCTGCAAGGAAATGAGTGGGCTCTCTGGCAGCAGCTTATCCTGCAGGAGCTTGTGGAAGTGCGTGGAGACCATGACGTGGGGGCAGCGCTCGCCCCGCGACAGCCAATGGCGCAGCACGGCCGCCAGCAGCACCAGCCCGTCCGCCTGCACACCGCAGTGGCACTTGCTCACAACTCCACCAGCTCGCTCGGGAGCCGTGTTGGGAAGCGCGCCTCGTTCGACCGCTCACACTCCCCTGCCGCTCAACTGCTCACCCGAGCCACTCACTCAGGCACTCACCCTAGCCGTTCGCACTCAACAACTTAGGCTCCCCACTCACTCAACCACTCACCCGAGCCATTCACTCAGGCACTCACTCTAGCCATTTGCACTCAACGACTTAGGCTCCCACTCACTCAACCACTCACCCGAGCCACTCACTCAGGCACTCACCCTCGCCGTTCGCACTCAACGACTTATGCTTCCCACTCACTCAATCACTCTCGACCGAGCCACTCACCCAGGCACTCACCCTAGCCATTTGCACTCAACGACTTATGCTTCCCACTCACTCAACTACTCGACCGAGCCACTCACTCAGGCACTCACCCTAGCCGTTCGCACTCAACGACTTAGGCTCCCCACTCACTCAACCACTCACCCGAGTCACTCACTCAGGCACTCACCCTAGCCGTTCACACTCAACGACTTAGGCTCCCACTCACTCAACCACTCGACCGAGCCACTCACCCAGGCACTCACCCTAGTCATAGGCACTCAACGACTTAGGCTCCCTATTCACTCAACCACTCACCCGAGTCACTCACTCAGGCACTCACCCTAGCCGTTCGCACTCAACGACTTATCCTCCCCACTCACTGTAGCTACTCACTCAACCACTTGCACTCAACCACGCAACGTTCCACCAGCCTCTATCGCTCGACCCTTCACCGTCAACCCCTCCCTCGCTCACCGCATTGGTGCCTTTGCCAAACTCGTCCACCAGCACCAGGGAGTGCTCGGTAGCGCCGGCGATACTGGACCCCATCTGTGAGCGGACACCCACACGCAAGGCACATCGGCAGCAATCGCGAGAGGGGGTTTTTGGAGGGGGAGGATGGAGTGTGTAACTTTCAATTGCAGGTGCGTTTACCATTTTGTTACGATGGTTTATCAAGGAGAACCTCACTGAGTCTCGTGACCCTTTCTCAGGGGGGGGGGGGTGCGATTGCTATATATAGTGCAATTGAGTAATTTGCAGGTAATTTCAAATGTAGACGGAGCATGGCCTACTCTTGTTAATATTTCTGTAACTTAATATTCATATGAATGTTTTTTTTTCTTCAAGTGCATTTTTCGAGGCAACTTTTATTCCTGGAAATGTATTTTATGCAATAGTGATTATATTTGTGTGCCATTTTCGATTTCTGCTGTAATGCTGATGTTTTTTTGCCCCTAATTTCTATTTGCTGCCGTGTTGCACTTGTGTTTTTTATGCTATTGCTTTTATAATTTCGGTGACCCAGCTCGCTCTTGCAAATTATACCTTAATTCTGGTCTCCTGAGTTCTCATCTGGTTACACAAAATCAACTGGTATCTTGAGGTTCCGATGGAGACCACCGGTGATCAAGGCCGCCAGCAGTCAGGACCAATGTATGTTGAACTTATTTTGCACCGTATGTAGTCGGCGGTGTGGGGGAAAGACAACAAACTATATACAAAAATAAGTTCTAAAGAAATGAGTTTTAAATCTAGATTTAAAAGTGCATAGCACCAGTGGCTTCCTACTATCGGAGGGAAGAGCGTTCCAGACGGCCGCAGAAGCACATCTGAAAGCGCGCGATGCGGTGACCGTCTTTTGTCGATAGCTAGCCAAAAGCAAGCCGCCGCTGCGAGGATGACCGGAGTTCGTGTGATGGTTTGTGCTCCTGGACGAGATCAGCGAGGTATCGTGGTTCATTTGTGGCAAGCACTTTGTCTATAATGAGCGCGACCTCATCACTTGTTTGTTCAGCAACCGTAAGTCAACGCAGCTCGACGAGCACCGGACGCACACGATCCGATCTTGCAATACCCAAATCCTGGTTGGGCGTTCACTTGGCCCATCTTCCCTCCGGCGTTAATACAATTAGAACCACATTGTGAAGTTGATAGTAGTCGTCCCGTGGACAGACTCGCCCCCCGCCATAGGAATGTGGAATTTTCACCACTGGCTCTGGGCTCTAAACAGCAGATGAGCACCAATGCCTCAATGTTTATTTTAGCAGTAACTCACTTTGACTAAACTTGTCTGCTTACATATTAGTACAATAATTGCCCTAAATATTTTCATATTTCCGCATCCTAATTGCACTCTGGACGCTTTAAAAAAAACCCATTACCCGAGCCAACCTATGTTGCATTTTCTTCAATATAGTTTTTTTGCCACACGTCCTGCTGTAGAAGCGATCGGACCACAGGGCACCACCTGGTTGAGGTCGATGATGAAGGTGGAGGCGCCAGTGGAGATGCTCTCGCTGGTCTGGACCCGCGAGTACAGTCCATCCAGGAGCCCAATCTCCGCCTCTTCGGCCGGCACGAAGCTGCCTATGAGCGCCATGAACACCATCAGCCCCACCTGCACCGTGGCACACGGCGGATGGTGGCGGCATCAGCCGCAGGCGGTGACGCAAAACAATCTGGCCGACGGTATAAAATCGCAAGAGCAGCACTTGCCCCAACGGCGTGTGTAGGCCACATGGGGGGTTCTTGTTGTGTGTTTCTGCATAACTGTGCGTGAGTGGGTGGTTGAGCGGTGGCTCGTGGTTAGCGCACTCGACTATGAACCTAACGGCCCGAGTTCGATTCCCACTCATGATTAATAACAATGGCGAATATTTGAACTGTTCTGGGCATGCCCCAGGTTGATTCCGCCCTAAATGAGTACCTGGTGCAGTGTGTAAACATTAGCACTGAGGAGACAAAGGCAGCCGGGCGTGGTGTTGGCCTCCTACCCCCCTTCGTGTGCCGCGCCAGCCTTCACAGGTGCTCGCTCGCAGCACTTGCCCCAAAAGTCTGTTAAGGCGTTGAGGCTACGCAGCGAGATCTTGTCATTGTTTCGTGAGTGAATGAGCACTTGTCCCAGCAGCCTGTGAGGCTACACGGAGGGGGATATTTTGTGTTTGTGCGTCCACGTGAATATCACCTGCTTCAGGTAGATACTCTTGCCGCATGCGTTGGGCCCCGTGATCACCTTCATCTTGCCGTGGTGCATGTCACTGATCATAGGGTTTGGCACGAACATGCCGGTGCACAGCTCCAGTAGCGGGTGCCTGGCAAACGGCACATGCGGCGCCATCATCATCGTCGTTATCGCATCATCATCACGGTGGAGGAACAGGGCCAAATGTTTATGATAAAAAATCCGCGTCTAAAATGTTACTCTGAACACGTTAATGTCGTCCCATGGACACACCCCCCGCCATAGGAATGTGGAATTTTCACCACTGGCTCAGGGCTGTAAACGGATGAGCACCAATGCCTCCATGTTTATTTTAGCAGTAAATCACTTTGACTATCGTTGTCTGTTGACATATCAGTGCAATAATTGCCCTAAATATTTTCATATTTCTGCATCGTAATTGCACTCTGAATGGTTTAAAAGCATTCTCTGAGCCAGCCTACTACGTTACAGGAAATGCATTTTCTTCAATATTGATTCATGCTTGTGCAGTATTTTCTATTTCTCCCGTGACGAGGTTGTCTTTGGTCCTGATTTTCTATTTCTTTCATTGCTGTCTTTATTTAATTTAATTGCTTTCGTCGTTTTGGTGATCATTGTTGGAGGTGACATCTCAAGACAAAAATTCAATATAAAAAACATTGAATAAGCGACGTTTCGGGCAATGGTCATACTTTCAGTGCATATTTGAAATTGGCCGAAAACATCTTAATATATAAAGTACCACAGAACTTGGGAAAATGTTGACGGAAGGTTCGCCGCCAGGCTACTTTCCCCGCTCGTCGGTGTAGCACGGTACAAGTTGAAATTACGGCTATTTTTAATTTCGTAGTTCGTTCTTCCGCATCGCTGTAAGTGCCACCAACGAATCAGTTAGAATCCTCGCAAGTGAGACTCTCTCCCGGCGTCTTGACTTCTCTCACCTGGTTTAAACAAATAAACCGGAGCCGTGCCAACGGAGGCTTCAGTCATGTGGGAATGGGCTCGCTGGGGAGAGATGTCCTACTATACCGCATTCCACGCCAGGGGGTCCTATCTGTAGGGAGGCACTGAGTCATGCTCCTGTAACGCTCTTTAATAAGAGCTGCGATATTAAACCCCTTGTCTTGGCTGATATTCATCAGCGGCTTTAATTAAATCTTTCATCTAAATTCTCTGAATTCCCCAATTACTTGTTTACGGGTGAGAGTACCTCAGTGTGTGGCTGTGCTTTGTGTGGGGGGAACGGTGCCACAGCGGTTATGACGCTGCGCTACGAACCCGGCGACCAGAGTTCGATGCCCGCTCACGGCCAACATCGATAACGAATATCTGGGCCGGTTCTGGACCTCCCATAGGTCGTCTCAGCCTGAAATGAGCACCCGGTGCAGTGTGTAGAAACATCAGCAATGGGGTAGACAAAAAGGCGGTGCAAACCACACCACCCCTCTGTGTGCCGTTCCGGCTAACAGCACTTGCCCCAACAGTCTGTTCAGGCTATACAGGGGATCTTTGTATTTGTGTGTTGTCTATGTCCTCGTGTGTGTGTGTGCGCATGCGTCCATGCGTGTTTATACGCGGCACCGCGTGGCCCCACCGGCCGCCCTTGATGTTGATGATGTTGCTGGTGGTGAGGCGGGGGCGCCGGTAGCCGTAATCGCGCGCCACCGTGCCCAGCGCCAGCAGGCAGTCAAGGCGAGCGGCAAGTTCCATCGCTTTCGTCAGCACGGCCGCCTGCTCCATCACCTTCCCCTGCAGCTGTTGCACGATGGCCAGCTCCTGGTCTGGCGCACGGCGCCGGCGGTTTCTCGTCAGCGCCCGTCGCGTTCACCGCGTTACCGCCATCGTCCAAACGGTAAACACCGATTTCGGTATTATCCCATCCCCCCACGGTGCTAACAGTATTGAGACTGATCAAAGAGTTTGCTTGTGTTGGACCAATGTTGATGATTGCATCCGCTGATATATAATATACAGTGCTCCGGTTTACATTCACGTGTAGCAACACTCATTAGAGGAGTTGGCCAGACATCCTAATGTAGGACCACAGACGTGGTCTGATATTTGCAGCCGCTCCGCTCGTCTTGTGGTTTCCTGTTCACAAATCTTCAATGAGTATTTTTTTGTGTGTGCGGGAGGACGCCAATTTCCCTTAAGAAAGAAAGACAAACACGCGTGAGAGGGAGGCCACTGGAGATGGAGCTGCGAGCTTCACCTCTGATCTCACACCGAGCGTCGCCCAGCAGTTGGTCCAGCTCCTGCGTGCGGGAACTCCGGTAGTGGACCCTGTTGTTCGACACAAACTGACACCACACACGCACAAAAAGATCCCCCATATAGCCTGAGCAGACTGTTTGGGCTAGTGTTGCGGCAACTTTGGCTGAATGTGCTGACTGTGAATATTATGGAGTGTGGCGAGTGTGAATGTTGGCTGAGAGATGAATGTTTAGTGTGTGGTTAGAGTGTGTCATCGTCACGGGCGTGCGTGCGGGGAGTGTGTGTGGTGACGGGGGATGCTACGACAGTGCCCTGCGCTCACCATGAATTCAAGGCCCTCAATTTCAAAGTTTCCCTCCTCCGCCTCCTTGTCCATCTCCGGCAGCTGTGGCACGGAGAGCAGGTACCCGAGCTGCATGCGCCAGTGCGGGGCACACGCGAGTGAGCGAGGCACACACGGACTCTAAACTAAAGTTGAACTATGTTTTTATTTACAAGGTAAAGCCCGACTGAGGTATATGAGCACTCTTTTCAGAAGCGACCTGGCTATCACAAATGATAGCTCAACAAAGTGGCTTATCTTGTGGAAATTTATAGCAGCCAAATACTCTAAAACGCATGTTGATTAAAAATGTTTCTAAACGCATGGACTCAACACCATCGCTAACAAACAAAGACCCCCCGTATAGCCTTAACAGACTGTTGGGGCAAGTGCTGTTAGTGAGCACCTATGAAGGCCGGCATAGCACACTAGGGGGTGGGCGGCCAGCACCACGCTCGGCCGCCTTTGTCTCCTCAGTGACGATGATTACACATCGCACTAGGTACCCATTTGAGGCTGAGTCGACCTAGGGCAGGCCCAGGACCGACTCAGATAATCGTCACTTGTGTTGGCCATGAGCGAGAATCGAACTCGGGTCGCCGGCTTTGTAGCGCAGCGCGCTTACCGTTACACTACCGCTCATCACATCACAATCACCACCACAATCACCAGCACAATCACCACTGGCACCACCACTGGCACCACCCCTTCACCGGCTGCACCTGCGGTAGGTAGATGATGCGGCACGAGGTGATGCGAACATCCAGCTCCTCCAGCTCGTCGCGCGCCACGCGCGTCATGAAGTCCGGCAGCCCGTAGAACGTGCGCTTCTCTACACGTGTCGGCACCGCAAGGACAGACGCGGTGAGGGGGCGCTCGCTCTCGCAAGGGAGACCTGGGCGGTGGTGGTGGGGGGGTCCCACTCACTCCCTCCCCACAGCCCTTTATTCAATAGGTTTCGTTTAAACGTGCAGAGAGCCTCAAGGGATTCTAGATTTGAAGCTTTCGTGACTGCAAGGATTCATATTCTTAGGTTTTTTCGGTGAAGTCACGTAGGTTAGCGCAAAGGTAGAGTTGGTGTTCGTCTTTGGATTAGTGTCAACTGTGTAAATCGCAGGTGAGGGGGAAGGACAACAAGGTTAGTGTGAGGAATTATTTTTGAAGTTATTTGTTAATGGCAGGGTTAAGGTTTGTGTTATGTTTAGTGTTCGTGCTGATGGCAGAGTTGGTGTTCGAAATAGGTGGAATTATGAATATTGAGGATAGTATTGGTAATTCGTGTTAATATTCAGGTTAGTGTTAGAGATTAATGTTAAGGCTAGCATTAGGTCGGATTAGTGGTAAGGTTAGTGTTGCAATGCTTTTAGTGTTTAGTTTGTTGGCTACGTACGGTGCGATAGAAGTTAAATATACACACGTCAGTGTTAATTTTAATTAAGTTTTACACGTGGGCTTTTGCGACCAATATCATCCATGAAACAGATTTTTTTTAGGTTAGATCGCATAAATAGAAATGTGTCATTAAACCCTTCACTACCCGACACAGCCAATTCGTAAGGTTTGTCACGTAAACAGAGCATGCCAATTCATTACTATTACAGCACACTGGTGTATTGGAGAGCAAATCCACAATATTTACAATCTTGAGTACGACGTTTGGCCAGTAATTACAACCGGCATCATCAGGCGGTAGCCAGATGGCAGGATTATGGGGAGTATTATATTTAGTGTATTATTAGTAGGGTGAGTGTTCGGAATGAGTGTTCGAGTTAGTGTTGATATTATTGTTGAGAATATTGGTTGTTAGGGTTAATGTTACGGTTAGTATTGGAGATATGAACATTGAGGCTTGTGCTTGGATTAGCGTTAAGGTTAGTGTTTAAAGCATTGGTGGTGACGGTGGCGTTACGGTGAGTGTTTACTCTTAGTGCAAGTGCTCTTGTTCTGGTTATACATGGAGTGGGATGACGAGCAACTCACTTTCATCAAGCGAGGTGTCCACATTGGGCTTCACCACGCATCTGCTCTCCATCTTGCTCGACTCAAAGTCCATCTGCAACGTGCCCACCACGTTCATACCGTATAACCTTAACAGACGGTTGGGCCGAGTGCTGTTAGCGAACACCTATGAAAATTGGCACGGCACACAAGGGGGTGGGTGGCCAACGCCACTCCCGGCCGCCTTTGTCTCCCGAGTAGTGATTTTTACACACCACGCCAGGTACTCATTTGAGGCTGAGTCGGCCACTTCATGAGACATACCACTCACACGCTCACGCACAGACGTCCACACACGCCCAGGGCCGCCTGGAGGTTCCTGGAGGCCCGGGGCCACAATGCCGCTACGTGGGGACCCCCTTATTTCACCGTCTATATTACCCGCCGTGGCACCCTCTTTTGTGTGAAGCCTATGGCGACTTGTCCCTTTTCACCCCACTACCTCTGGGGGGTCCTGCACACACACACGCACAGCACGCTCACACGCATCCCCAGAGCAGGTGATCCATCTCCATTCCCTGTACGCGCGCTACTCTACCACCACCGCAGCATGGCCCATGGAGGTACCCAGTGCAACGGGCAGGTCAGCGCTGGGCGCCGAGAGTGCAGGCATGTGGACTCTGCGTCCACCTTACCACGTTGGCGAGCAGCGAGCTGATGTAGGTGAGGTTCCTGGAGGTGTGATTGATTCTGGCGAAGAGCTTCACATTCTGAGGCAGATTGCGGCACGTTTCCCATATGTACACCAGGTGGAAGACCGTCTGTACCGAACCAACACCATTATCACCACATGGTGCAGTCTCTACCGCAGAATATCACTTCACAACACGAGCACCCCCGCCCATCATTTTGTTATGAACTTCACCACTACAACACGTGTGATATGAATGGGTGCCTGAGTCTTGCTGCATGCATGATTTGGACCATTACTGGAAAGCAATAGCCTACTCTTGCAGGACGGTGTCACGAGGCTTCCCCAAGGCTGCCACAGGTGACAATTCCTGGTGTAAGAATTGCACTATCGGCCGCACACGGGTACTGGCGCAGCAGGTAGTGTGTTGGCCCTCTGGCACCCGGCAGGGCATTTATTGGCCTCTAGGTGTACTACCACGGAGCCCCGCGGTGTGGCAACGGCAAGCGGCAGTGCGGGGGGGGGGGGCACCTGGTAGAGTGTCTTCCAGTCTTGCACAGTGGCGTGGGAAATCTTCATTCGGATGAGGATTCTCTGTGGGGGTAGAGAAGACATCGGGTGTCTGATGTCTATTACGGGAGATCTGCAGGTGACCGCTGAGAATGGTGGAGACGTTAGACACCCGTGTGCAAAGAACTGGAACAGTTACAAGTGGCTAACACTTGAGAACCTGGTTTAATCGCGGGCCCTTTCGCAGATTTAAACAAGAGAAATCAGGAGTGCCAGCTCAGTGCTCTGATCTCTGAGCCTCCCCGCCACCTCTATTTCATTAAACATCACGATGTCAAAGTGGCCAAAGCCGTTGATGCCACCACACCTCGCCAACACTTTATACCCTCCACAAGATCCCGCAGCTGCTGCTGCGCCATAGAGACGCGACCTTCAAAATCTTGCCGGGCGTGATCCCCACCATCTGGTCTTGGTCACGGGACTCGTTCATGAGAAATGGTTTTGAGTGTTTATGGATCGGAGCGGACGCTCAGACCTCAACACTGCCGGAGAGGGGCCTACTAACCCAGGAAAGGCCTAAGACACAGCGGAAGGCCTACAACAGAGAGTGAATGCACATGGGGGGCGAGGGAGCGTGACGGATTTGGCCAAAGTGGTGAGTGGGGGGGCCCCGCTGCGGAGAGCCGCTCGTGGTGCAAGTTTATTCTTATTTAATGCCGTGAATGGTGAGGGAGGGGGGCAGCCCTGAACGGACTTACGGATAGGCTCCGGATCTGCTTGAGGTAGTTTTGCAGCCTCTTGACGACTTCACAGTTGCACGGGGAGGTGGTGAACTCGACGACGTCCTGGCGGTCCGACAGCTCTTGCAGGTTGCGCGTCGGGCGGCGGAACCACATCCTGGAGTGGGCGAAATGGCGGGGAGCAAGCGCCCCGGCCAGTGACCAAAGCGGCAACATATCCAGCATCGTAACTCGACTGTAATACTTCCACAACCTGAACACAATCCTCTACCATGCCACTACACGGACACCCACCGCAATGCGATCGTTACTGACATGCAATCGCTAAGGTGAAAATTTGCGTAGCAAAATCACCACCAAGGCAATACCGTAAGACTACCATAACTCTAAACACACAATACCATAACCAGAATATTACCATAACACAACCATCAGCGTAACACAATCACAATTAATAACACAACCAATAAACCACCACAACACACTACCAACCAGAACAAAATCATAACAGGTAGCAGCCACCACCATAACAACCGTGATGGCATTCACACTATGACCACTCATACAGTCACGTTCCACCACATAGCCTGAACACCAACACGGCCCTAACCCTGCTCCCTTGTGGCTGTTCTAGCCACACTCTTGTGGGGGGGGGGGCCTGAGTGGGTGTGGCGGGGGCCCGAAGGGACTCACTCGAGGAGGCGAACGCCAGGAGGGGAGTGACAGCGGTTCATGATGCCTGCGGGAGACACAGCGATACTGATGACCGTCCCCGTTTACGACACCGACGTTGAACACAGTGGCGATTTAAAATACTGTTATGAGTGGCTTCCTGCCCAAAATGAGCATCGAAGTAGTGTGCGCTCATCGTTTTCTTACAGCCGTGAGCAAGTAGCGGAAATTGCATGTTCGTATGGCAAGGCAATCCCCAAGCTGGATTTGAACTCACACGCTTCTGATTGCGTACCGCTCACTCTACTGCCGAATAAACTTGACCCGCCTAATAAACCAGGAATAATAATAATTCACAACCCTTTATCAATTGATTGTTGGGTAAATACCTCAATGTATCGGTCATGGGGATTGTTTAATAAAACTTCACCACGCCGGTTAGTGCTGGCTGGTGAAAGTGAGGTTGGGTCCAGGACCCGTTCGGATTTTGCTCAGAAGTGATACTTGACGTGACTGGGAATCGAACTTGGGTGGCCGGATCCGTAGTAACTATGCAGTTTAAAAAAGAAAAAATAGGTTCTGTGTTGGTATTCAATGTGAGCGATGAGGATTGAAGTGGATGGTGGACACTGTGCTCCGGGGAGGTTAATCCCTTGTGAATGAGGACAGCAATGAGAGGTCGATTGGGCTGGCGTTGAGTGAACGGGCATGCAGGTGGCTGAGTTAGCCGAGGGGTGAGGGGGGCCGGAAGTGAGCAGTTTAGGGGGCGGAGTGGAGAAACGAGTGGGTGAGTGAGTGGCGAGCAGTTACCAAAGAGGCTGAGTCCTTCCTTGCCGCCAAAGACACTTTTAAACGCTGACGGGTGAGTCCTAGATTTAAATATCTGCAAGGCGCTGCAAAGACAAAGTTCCTCCGTGAAGCCATAACAGACTGTTGGGACAAGTGTTGTGAGCGAGTACCTATAAAGGCCGGCACAGCACACAAAAGGTTGGGTTGGCCAGCACTATGCCCAGCCTCCTTTGTCTTCCAAATGGCGATGTTTACACACCGCACTAGGTACTCACTTGAGGCTCAGTCGACCTATGGAAGGCCAAGGACCGGTTAAGACAATCATCACTGGCGTTGGCCGTGAGCGGGATATGAACTCGGGCCGCTGGGTTCATAGCGCAGTGCGTTAACCGCTACACTACCGCTCCCCCACACACATGCAAACACGTAAACATATTAACACGCATGTGCACACACGCAGACACACGCCCCCGGAACTTGAGCTGATGATGGATGGTGCAGGTGGAGTCCGTGTCTTGTCCTGGTCCTACTGTTACAGCTGATGGTCCTGTATTTTGTGCTGCTGGTGGTGTAGGTGATTTCCCTATGTATTGTGCTGCTAGTGCTGGTGGTGAAGATGGCGCCTCTGTCTATTGTGTTTGTCCTGACGGAATAGGCGGTTCCCCCAAATGTCTCGTGTAAGGGCCAGTGGTGCACGCGTTGCCCTCGTGTGCTGGTGCCGCTGCTGTTGCTGTTGGCGCCCCAGGCCTGTGCTGGGTACCGGAAGGTGTTCTTGTCAACGTGCACGATGTCCTCCCTGGGACGAGAGAAGCGCACGCGCGCTTGCGTCAATACTGACAGAAGCACATTTTTCCACGCCTCGCTCAAGTCGACTGCTGAAACGTATTGCATGTGTTCCATTGTTGTGCAAAAAAAACCGGTAGTAAATCTATCTCGTCGTGCTGTTTTGTAACAAATATATTTAATATTTTACAAAATGGAGAAAGGCAAGACGGCTTAAGTCTCACACATGCTTAGTTTCGGTGAGACACGAAATTATGTATACTGTGCGTTGGGTGATAAAGAGGACTGTGTATACAGTTGTGTACGACATGGGTATTTGTGGCTGTGATCAGTGGTGTGGTTGTGCTTGTGGTGATCAAAGCAGTGAGTGTCGTGGGTTGTGTTTCCATTGGTGTGGTTGCGACGGTGGTGGTTATGAAAGCTGTGAGTGCCACGAGTTGTGGTGGTCGTGCCGGTGGTGAAGACAGCTGTGAGTGGTGTGGCTGTCAATGTGGTTGTGTTCAAGGTGCTGTGGTTGTCTCTGTGGTTGTGGTCACGGCGGTGTGGTGTGGCCGGCGTGGACACGGACGGCATGAAGATGCGGAAGGCCATGATGGGGACGCGCACATCCTTGTTCTCCAGCTCCACGCCCACCCTTTTCTGCTCCACGTACTTGAGCAGTGCGCCCATCGCACACAACTGCAGACACACACAACAAGATAACCAACAGCACTGGCACTGCCACCACCAACACCATCATTTTTTTCTATTTGACCAGATAAGGCCCACTGAGCCATATACCGCTTTTTCAAAAGCGACCTGGCCACAAATGATAGCTCAATGAAGTGGCTTATCGTGTGGAAATTTATCGCAACCAAATACTCTAAACGCATGTTTCTAAACGTGGAGGGAAAAACAGGAGGACCTGGAGAAAAATGCACACGACCACGGGAAGAACATGGAAACATACAGGCATCAGGGTCGGGATCGAATCCCACGATCCTCCTGTATACCAGGCGAGGTAGTTAACATCTCGCCACCATGGCGACCATGGGTCTTTGCCCGCCCAACTCTGCAACATAATGCAACACTGGCACCTGTCCCGAGGTTGTAAGGATCGCTATTCCCTGTTCAAAGGAATCCCGTGCGGTACCATATAAGAATTGTCGAACGGCACCATCTTCACGAAGTGGTAGATGCGCTCTTGTTCCGTGAGGTCCGGCAACATGCCCGGCAGGTTGGTGTTGAGGATACGCTGCTTGCCGGCTTCCACCACTAGAAGCACACACACACACACACATGTAAGGGTGCGTGTGTGTACGTTAGCCGAGAGCAGCCATTCCTGATGGTCAATGTACGGCCGAGAATGGACCAAAGCAATGCTTTGACAAGAGTGCTGCTAACTTGGTGTCGCACTTAAAAGAGACTGAGTCAGCGTGACACTGAGCCAGTGTGACGCAACACCGAGTGAGTGTGTGGCTCGAGCCCCGTGCCACGTCACCTCCACCCCAGACCCACAGAAGTTCAAGCTGGGCAGCACCTCCACGTTGTAACTTCCCTGCTCACGACCATCCACTTGCTCACCGCCATCCCCCTCGGGGGCGTTCTTCTCACCGACCTCACCGTCTGCTCGCACGCAGACAGGCAGCCAGCCACCCCACACCTTGGCTTTGAAGCATCTAATTCGGCCCAGTTGCCTGTGCTGGCTGCGATACCCATAACGAACGGCCGCGTGAGCGAGTGGAGTGAGCGTCCGTGCGGAGGGCAAGGCGGCGGTGCGCTACGACCTGCCACTCTCACCTGGGTTGGCGAGCATCTTGAAGAAGCTGTCTTTCTGCTTGGCACTGGTGATGATGCACGTCGGGTTCAGCTGGGAAATCACTGCGCAGAACAGACAGCCGCCCGGTTCGACCATGTTGCCGGTCCAGGTATAGCGCAATGGCGAAAACAAAACCACCACAGGGTGGCCCTTGCAAAAGAGGCAATGTTGTTTCAGAATCAGTATTTATTCCGGAGGAATCCGATGAACTATAAAACTCTTTTTCACAGATATCCAGTAGTTTCATCAGAATAGAATCAGTATTTATATTGGAGGAATCTGATATGCTATAAAGCTCTCCTTCACAGATGTCCAGTAGTGGCGGATATGAAAGTTATGTTCAAGTGTCCCGATGGGGTCATTTCATATCCGAGTAAAACAAAGAATACTTTACAAATGTTCCCTGTCCGTAAATACAGTTCCCCTTCAAACAAACTACATCAGGGGGAGAGCAGGTGGCTTGGCAGGGCTCATGGATTAAATCCCAGATTCGCACACGAAGTGAAAAGGGGTTCACAAGACGAGAGGAAGCTTTGATAGTTTCAGCCTTGACCATACACACCGTAAAAAGTGACTCATTTGAAGACCTGAGAGCTTATTCAACAAAGACACACAGAGGATGCATCTTGTTTGCACAGCTGAAGCGAGAGCAGCACGCTCACGGTTTTGTCAGACGGTGAGTCACGTGCAATTGAAAGGGATGTGCAAAGGCTTCTGAAGATATAAATGATTAGCGTGCAAAATAAACTGAGAATTGACTCAAGATGGGAAATTGGGGTGGAGAGATGCATGCGTGTGCATTTTTTTGTTGCAAGTGTTTGCATGAGTTTGCGTGTAGGAAGTGGGGGGTGCAGTCGTTGGCGCACAGCGATACAAACCCAGCCAGCAGAATTTCATTTCCAGCCACGGCTGGCATCTGTGGCGAGCAGTATTAAAAACCGGTCCTTGGCTTTTCCTAGGTCGAAACGGCCTGAAAGAAGTACCTGGGGTGGTGCGTAAACATAGGCACTGGGGAGACAAAGGCGGCCGGGTGTGGTGCTGACCACTACCGCCGCCACGTGCACCATTCCGGCATCAAAAAAAAGTCAAAGCGATTTCCTGTTTGAATGAACATTGAGATCGTGCTCATTTCTTGTTCCAGCCTTAAGCCTGTAGTGGGCGAGTCTATCCATAGGACAAACACTTTTTACCTTCCCACAAAGTGGTACTTTATTTTATTGATGCCAGATGAATGATTGGCGGAGTCAACCCTCAACCAGGAATTGGATGCGCAACCTTGTGATCGCGAGACACCGATACACGCTCTTCTGCTGAGACACCGATATACACTCGCTGACGAGCACTTGGCCCCAAAGGTTTGTGGAGGCTACACGGGTGATTGGGGGGATCTTTGCGTGCGTGTACGTGTCCGCACCGCGTTTGAGAAGCGAGTTGTTATCCGTGTCGGGCGTGTCGTTGATGTAGTAGACGTTGCCGTCCTCGGAGTCGTAGAAGGCCATGCCCAGGATCCTTCCGCTCCACATTATGCTCAGCACCACCTGCCCGGCCGCCCAGAAAAAAAAACAAAATTTAGCCTCGCCACATCACCGCTGACTTGCCAGGCCCCACCGAGACCAATCTCCACACACATACCGTGGTGTGAGTCACGGTGAATCACAAACAGTACTCAATGTTTTCTAAGTTAATGCCACTTAAGTCGTGTGGTTGTCCACGCAGGTATGGTTGCTGGAGGCCCTAAGCAGACATTCTTATGTGGGCATCCCCACCCCCCCTTTCAATTTATAAATCCTCCACGGAGCACCAGTTGAAAAACCCTGCGAAATGAGTCGTAATGGGGGAACTGTGCAGGCCACCCCTCAATCCGTGTGCCACGGTGGCGAGATGTTAACTACCTCGTTTGGTATACAGGAGGTCGTGAGATTCTATCCCGACCCTAACGCCTGCTGTATATTTGGAGTTTGCTTGTCTCTCTCTCTCGCCGTGGTCACGTGGATTTTTTCTCCGGGTCTTCCGTTTTTTTCACTCCACATTTTGAATCAACACCACGCGTTGAAGAGTATTTGGCTGCTAAAATGTCCACGTGATGATAAGCCACTTCGTTGAGCTACCATTTGTGATCGCCAGGACGCTTAAAAAAAAGCTATTATAGCTCAGTGGGGCCTTACGTGGTAAAATGTAAAAATAAATTGAATGGCAATAAAATGTCAGAGGGACGTGAGCCAGAAAAAAATACCTGGGCCTGCGGCTGGTCCCCCCTCTCCACCTCGCACGGGGGCCCAGTGGCCGGCTTGTGCACCAAAACCACGTCCTCCTCACTCATCTCGAACCCGCCAGGTAGCGACGAGGAGGGTCCCGTCGCCCCGTCGAGGCTGGGCGCCGATCGCCCCCCGCTCAGCATGGCATCCAGCGTGGGCCCCAGTGACATGTTTAGCTCCTGCTGCAAGGGGGGCAAGATGGCAAGGGGAACAGGCAAATAGTTGGTGGGGTTGAGAGGGTGACGCAAACCTGTCAACACCTTACCAGTGCCTACCTTATTACAGACCAATTCAGACCTTATCAGTCACCTCGTGCCCTTATAAATCTCAACGTTCAACCTACAAATTCCCATCACAAGGGAAAAACACAAATAGACGCATATTTTTTGTTGCCTGTATTGAAACGGCTGTACGCCGTATGCACCTGAAAACTCGATTTACCTGTAGAATCAACACCGCGTGTTTAAGAGTATTTGGCTGCTAAATGGCCACGTGATGATAAACCACTTAATTGAGCTACCATTTGTGATCGCCAGGTCGCTTTAGAAAAAAAAGAGTTATTATAGGTCAGTGGGGCATTACCTGGTAAAACGTAAAAATGAATTGAATGGCAATATAAAAGTCAGAGAAACGTGGGCCCCAAAAAATACCTGGGACTGTGGCTGGTCCCCCCTCTCCTCCCCGCACCGGGGCCAAGTGGCCGGCTTGTGCACAAACACCACGTCCTCCTCACTCATCTCGGACTCGTCAGATAGCGACGAGGAGGGTCCCGTCGCCCCGTCGAGGCTGGACGCCGATCGCCCCCCGCTCAGCACGGCATCCAGTGTGGGCCCCAGTGACATGTTTAGCTCCCGCTGCAAGGGGGGCAAGATGGAAAGGGGGACGGGCAAACAGTTGGTGGGGTTGAGAGGGTGATACATACCTGTCAACACCTTACCAGTGCCTACCTTATTACAGACCAATTCAGGTCTTAACAGTCACCCCGTGCCCTTATAAATCTCAACGTTCAACCTCCAAATTCCTATCACAAGGGAGAAACACAAATAGACATCTGGAGTACACTCACCACTACATACTGTACCCGTCAACCCCTTATAGTGATTACCTTATTAGACTAATTCAGACCTTATTGGTTACCCCGTGACCATATAAAGCTTAACGTTCATCCTACAAAGTCCCATCACAAGGGAAAAACACAAATAGACGCAAATTTGTTGTTGCCCGTATTGAAACGGTTGTACCCCGTATGCACCTAAAAACTCAATTTACCTGTAGAATCAATGACACGCATTTAAGAGTATTTGGCTGCTAAATGTCCACGTGATGATAAGCCACGTAGTTGAGCTACCATTTGTAATCGTCAGGTCGTTTTGGTTAAAAAGTGTTATAAAAGCTCAGAGGGGCCTTACCTGGTAAAATGTAAAAATGAATTGAATGGCAATATAAATGTCAGAGGGACGTGGGCCCCAAAAAAATACCTGGGCCTGTAGCTGGTCCCCCCTTCTCCTCCCCGCACCGGGGCCCAGTAGCCGGCTTGTGCACAAACACCACGTCCTCCTCACTCATCTCGGACTCGTCAGATAGCAACGAAGAGGGTCCCGTCGCCCCGTCGAGGCTGGACGTCGATCGCCCCCCGCTCAGCATGGCATCCAGCGTGGGCCCCAGTGGCATGTTTAGCTCCTGCTGCAAGGCGGGCAAGATGGCAAGGGAAACAGGCAAATAGTTGGTGGGGTTGAGAGGGTGACACATACCTGTCAACACCTTACCAGTGCCTACCTTATTACAGACCAATTCAGACCTTATCAGTCACCCCGTGCCCTTATAAATCTTAACGTTCATCTTACAAATTTCTATCACAAGGGAGAAACACAAATAGACACCACTAGTACACTCACCACTACACACCTGTCAACCCCTTATAGTGCGTACCTAATTAGACCAATTCAGACCTTATTGGTCACCCCGTGCCCTTATACATCTTAACGTTCATCCTACGAAGTTCCATCACAAGGGAGAAACACAAACAAATAGACACCACTAGTACACTCACCACCACATACCTGTCAACCCCTTATAGTGCTTACCTAATTAGACTAATTCAGACCCTATTGGTCACCCCGTGCCCTTATAAATCTCAACGTTCATCCTACAAAGTTCCATCACAAGGGAAAAACGCAAATAGACACCACTAGTACACTCACCACTACACACCTGTCAACCCCTTATAGTGCTTACCTTATTAGACTAATTCAGACCCTATTGGTCACCCCGTGCCCTTATAAATCTTAACGTTCATCCTACGAAGTTCCATCACAAGGGAGAAACACAAACAAATAGACACCACTAGTACACTCACCACTACACACCTGTCAACCCCTTATAGTGCTTACCTTATTAGACTAATTCAGACCCTCTTGGTCACCCCGTGCCCTTATAAATCTCAACGTTCATCCTACAAAGTTCCATCACAAGGGAAAAACGCAAATAGACGCATGTTTGTAGTATTGAAACGGCTGTACGCCGTATGGACCTGAAAACTCAATTTACCTACACAAGAATAAGGGTAACCCGTACGGGTTGACAGCTATGGAGACATGGCACATGAGGAGGAGGCAATGGGGTGGCTGGACATGTGCGAAAAATAACTCTATAGCTCATCGGATTCCTCCAGTGTTTAAATATTCAGATGTGCGGTGGGACGAAGGAAATGTGACATTGTGAGCGGATTGAATGGGTGGACGCGTATAAGGAGATAATGTGCGTGAAATATAATTTGAACTTCTGATAAACATCAAAATATATATAGCGTGTCAGAAGTCGCTATGTTGTCTGCAGCTCTACTTTCATTAGGAAGCCCATTGGGAGCTATGCACTTGTAACTCCAGATTGAAAACGTATTTCTTGAGAACTGCTTTAGTGTGTGTTAGTTTGTTGTCCATCCTCTACGTAAACATACATCTCAAAAGTCTCTTGTGGACGTCTCATTTCTCTCTCATCTGTATGCCCCTTCTATCGTCTCTATTGTACGACATCTGCAATGCTTATCCACGTTATCTCGCTTCATCTCCTTCTCGAATATAACGTCCGACTTAGACGGCGTCCCCACCAAATGATCCGGGACCACGGAAAGGCGATTAAAGACAAAGACGTGACACAACGATCACCATTTAAAACATAACATGGTAAATAATAAAGTAACAATTACACTGACGGAAAATCAGCTTTAATTTGTATTCTTTGGGTCTTTCGGTAAAAGGCACGTAGATAGGTTGAGCGAAAATAACAAAAAAACGACATTTCGATTACAACTTGAGCCATGACGACGTTTCGATCACATCGTCATCGCTTGTGTTGTGATCGGAAAAAAACGACTTTTCGATCACAACACAAGCGATGACGACGTTTCGATTACAACACAAGCGATGACGTTTCGATTGTGTAGTGATCGATCACAACACAAGCGATGACGTTTCGATTACAACACAAGCGATGACGTTTCGATTGTGTAGTGATCGATCACAACACAAGCGATGACGACGTTTCGATCACATCGTCATCGCTTGTGTTGTGATCGGAAAAAAACGACGTTTCGATCACAACACAAGCGATGACGGTCGCTTGTGTTGTGATCGAAACGTCATCGTTTTTTGTTATTTTCGTTCAACCTATCAACGTGACTTTACCGAAAGAATATTAATTCCTGCAGTCACGAAAGCTTCGAGTCAAGATTTACCTTTAATTTTCTAAATTAAAATCCTCGATAACTTGATCGGTCTTTTTTATCCGATAATTTCACTCAAAACGCAAATCGAAGCGACTCGTCGAGCCTCGATGCAAATACATGAACATTAGCCTCATCAACAACCATATACACTTGTGAGAAAGTATTATAATAATAGACTAATAGACTAATACAGTACTGCGACGTTGTCGTGAGGTGGAGCAGAGCGGCAGCCGCGAGACAGAAAAGCGCGGGAAACCGCCGAGCGGAGCCCCACACCGGCAATTAAAATAAACATTATTATTATTACTGCTATTGTTGCTACTTACGAATCCAGACTTTCTGGCAGTCACTCGACTCGTCGTGTTTGTGCGTTTGTGTTTTTTTCCCAAAGGCAATGTTAATGAAAACTGAGGTAAAGTTTTGTTAATGATTCAGTTGCCGCTCCGCTGGTGCCAAGCGGGTAATGAATTACAACGCTAAAGTGCAATTAAAGTAACATTTTTGTTTATTAATTCACACTTTTTTATTTACTTCTAATGCACATATACAGCGTGATCCTTTAATATATAGTCTACACACATTGTTTTTATATATTTTAAAGTATACAGGACTATATTTAGCTATTCCACTTTTTATATCTTAACATACATCGTCTTGAAAATGTTGTATCTGTTTCCTATTTAGACGTTACGTATACTCAGTACAATCCTAAATTGCTTCCTAAATGCAACTAAATAAGAGGTTAAAAGGCAGACCCGACCCTATCATCATAAAGCGAAATTATTGCTATATTTTATTAAAGACATTCATAAATGTATCTTCTTGGTTCTTTCGGTAAAGTCACGTAGAAGAGAAATAATAAAATAAAATAAAACAATTATTATTTCCCTTCTACGTGACTTTACCGAAAGAACCAAGAACATGAATTCCTGCAGTCACGAAAGCTTTAAATCAAAATTAATAAATGTCTTTACACGGACACTCTCAATTATATTGCAAAGGGATTAAAGAGTGGGTCAGAGTTCCACGTGGGAGTTGTCATTGCCTACCTGTCAACCCCTCATGAAGTACCTTACCTTCTTACACACCAATTCACACCCTTTTGGTCAACCAAGTGCCCCCTTATAGATCTCAACGTTCATCCTACAAAGCCCCATCACAAGGGGCCGTCCATAAATGACGTCACGCGATTTTGGACGATTTTTGACCCCCCCCCCCCTTCGTCACACGACGTCACAAAAAGTCAGACCCCTCCCCCCTCAAATATGACGTCACAAAGCCCTGCCCCCCCCCCTCCCCCCCAAAAATATTAAACATGCTTCAAATCGCTTTAAACTATTGTCATTGTAGTGCGTATTTAATGTGGCGCTGCACTCTGATGTTGTAGGAGAAAACATTTATTTAAAGAAAATATTTATTAAAAAGTATATTTAATTAAGTACAACGTGTTGTCTATTCTAGATTTGAAGCTTTCGTGACTGCAATGATTCATACTCCTTTGTATTTTTTCGGTAAAGTCATGTCGGTAAAAAATCTAATAAAATAAATGAAAACAACTCAATTAAGTCACGACGTTTCGGGCGCAACACAAGCGTCCTTCTTCAGGTGCGGACAACTTAGCGAAAGCGCAACCGCTTAAGTGTGGACACACTGTGTTGTTTGTGCACGACTGCCACCTTTTGATTACACTATGTAACACGATTTTTGTTCCTGGGTAGTGTTCTTTTCTAATTGCTTATGCCTCAAAAGTATAGAAAATGGCTATTATTCCCCACAAACTTTGCTTTCGTGACCAGGACTTTGTGTGAATGAAACACACAAATGCAAACGTTTTCTCATTGAAAATAGGTACATTTCAAAATACCACTGTCCTGGTCACAAAAGCAAAGTTTGTGGGGAATAATAGCCATTTTATGTACTTTGGGGGCATATGCAATTAGAAAATAACACTTACTACCCAGTAATTTTTTGTTGTTACAGTGTTACATGTGTATCGAGAGTTCAATGTTCATGTGCCATTTCTATTGAGGGACTACTGCTGTGTATTATCTTGTGTAGGACTGTTTGGTTATTGTTTTCGCTGCCTTTACCTTGTCTTGCTACATCGGATTTGCACAATTGTTTAATGATTTATATTCAGTTACTTTTTTTCTCTCCTTTGCACTCCCATCGTTTTTGTGCATTGTTTGCTGCTTGTAACTCGCTGACCCTCCAACTGGACACGTGGTTCAAAAAGAGCTTCATGGCTCTTCGGATTCCTCCTCCACTCTAAATACAGACTCTGAACCCGAGGCCCCCCCACCGCCCACCCCCCCTCCACCCGCCCCCCCTCCACCCCCCTCCACCCGCCCCTCCACCCCCCCACCCGCCCCTCCATCCCCCTCCACCCGCCCCTCCACCCCCCTCCACCCGCCCCTCCAACCCCCTCCACCCGCCCCTTCAACCCCCTCCACCCGCCCCTCCATCCCCCTCCACCCGCCCCTCCACCCCCCTCCACCCGCCCCTCCAACCCCCTCCACCCGCCCCTCCACCCCCCTCCACCCGCCCCTCCACCCCCCTCCACCCGCCCCTTCACCCTCCTCCACCCGCCCCTTCACCCCCCTCCACCCGCCCCTTCACCCCCCTCCACCCGCCCCTTCACCCTCCTCCACCCGCCCCTCCACCCCCCTCCACCCGCCCCTCCACCCCCCTCCACCCGCCCCTCCACCCCCTCCACCCGCCCCTCCACTCCCCCTCCACCCGCCCCTTCACCCCCCTCCACCCGCCCCTCCACCCCCCTCCACCCGCCCCTCCACCCCCCTCCACCCGCCCCTCCACCCCCCTCCACCCGCCCCTCCACCCCCCTCCACCCGCCCCTCCACTCCCCCTCCACCCCCCCTCCACCCGCCCCTCCACCCCCCTCCACCCGCCCCTTCACCCCCCTCCACCCGCCCCTCCACCCGCCCCTCCACCCCCTCCACCCGCCCCTTCAGCCCCCTCCACCCGCCCCTCCACCCCCCTCCACCCGCCCCTTCACCCCCCTCCACCCGCCCCTCCACCCGCCTCTTCACCCCACTCCACCCCATCGCCTCCACCCCCGCCCACGAGTTTATAATCGACCAATCTGGCGGCCATCTTGCTACGGGAGAACCTCTGGCTGAGTCAACGGAACCCCGCCCCCCTCACGATGACGTCACGCCACTCCGCACGCCCAACGTGTCCCGCCCCCCCATTCTCCCTACGCAACATGGCCGCCTGATGTCCTCACAATCCCGTCCGCTTGAAACTCCACTCCACGTGGACCGCGCACACGTGTGTGCGTGTGTACCGTTTGCCGGCCTTCATAGGCGCTCGCTAACAGCGCTTGCCCCTAACAGGACTATCCAAAGTCGTCGGCAGGCCCTGATGGCGGGGACGGTCGTGCCTGCAGAGGTGCTCGTGTGTGCCGGTGCGGACGAGTCGGCGCCCGGCGGCGGAGGCTGCGGGGCGTGGGACGCGCGATCGGGCGCCTCGCTCGCCTCGTACCGCGGCGGCGGAGCGGCGGCGCGGACTCTGTGCCTCGCGGGGGGACGCCACTTGCTGGGCGCGCAGCGCGGCAAGAGCTACGTGAACGCGTGGGACGCGGGGCGCAAGGTGCGTGCGTGTGTGTGTGTGCCCCCTTCTTGCCTCGCCGTGCCCGCCACCCCTCTCGTCTTCTTCTCTTATAAATAACAATATAATGTATGCGCCGTGCCGTTGAAGTTCTTTCGCATCGTACGTGGTCAACCGTGCTTCGACTGAGTATTCGGGGGAAGGATAACAAACTATTCGCTTCGGTGAATTAAAAGTGCGTAGCTGCCGAAGCTGCCGAAGATCGGAAGGAAGAGCGTTCCAGACGGCTGCCGCAGAATAGTCGGTGACAATGATAATCATCAGTGACATACTTATATAGCGCATGGCTATCACGGTCCCGTTATGTTTCACAGACGGGGTATCGTCTGCCAGTGCAAATCCTTTTAAATGTATTGCGTGCACAGTGTTTTCGCTCACTTTAGAAGAGAGAGAGCGACAACTTTGAGGCACGAGGAACCACAGGCGAGCGGGAAGGCCGCAAACAGCTTGCCCAAGCTCTGCGGTCCTCCATATATTACGGTGTTATTGGACAATGTTATTGTTTACATGCGGGAGGAAACCGGAGTACCCGGGAGGAAACCCGCACGTGCGAGGGGGAAACACTCTATTCCATACAGACGGAACAGATGGAGGACATGAGAATATGTTTTACCCTTTCTGGCAAAAAAACTGTTAAGATGTTAAAATACCAAACAAACTTTTTGCAAGGAATCATGTCTGTATGCACCACATGTACGTGTGGTGAACATACAAAACATTCCCCACACCACCCAGCCCCTCCCCACAACACCCAGCCCCTCCCCACCCCCCACCCAGCCCCTCCCCACCCAGCCCCTCTCTACCCAGCCCCACCCCTCCAATTTTTGGATGCACGACGGACGGACGGACACAATAATCCCCTGTGGGCTGGTGTAACCAGGAGGTTCCTACCAGTACAAAAACATGCTCAGGTAGTATACGCGGTGTCTTGGAGGAGAGTCCACATGCTTTGCTGCACTCTGCTGGTGGGCCAGGGTATGGTACCGCGACGCCCATGGGAAGGGAGTTTCAAATATTTGTGCGATCCCCCCAACCCACTCCTCTACAGTGCCTGAAGGCACAGCCGGCCACCGTGATGGTGGCATCATAGCAGTGTGGGTCGGTGTCATTGTGTATCGCTGCCCTAGCTGTAGCTATAAAAAAAACTATGAACTATTTTTTATTTTACCAGGTTAGGTACACTGAGCTATATGGATCTTTTTCAGAAGCCACCTGGCCACAAGTGATAGCTCAACGCAGTGGCTTATCACGTGGAAACTTATAGCACCCAAATACTCTAAACGCGTGGAAGGAAAAACCAGAGAACCCGGAGAAAAATGCACGCAACCATGGGGAGAACACGCAAACTCCAAATATACAGCAAGCGTCAGAGCTACAAACCCTGTAGCTCTGGTTGTACTTGTCGAGTCGGCTCCGTGTCTGTGGTCGATCTCTCGCTATGGCTCCAAACTTCCCCCTTTACACAAAGCAGCAGGAGCAGCTGCAGCAGAAGCTCGTGTGCCCGGGCCCCGTGTCGTGCCTCGCCGCCTCCCCGGACGGGCTGCACCTGGTGGCCGGCATAGCGCAGACGCTCTACCTGTGGGAGGTGAGCCGCTACCCCTGCCTGGGCCGGCTGGGTTCGAGCCCTGTACCGGTGTGTTCTATAACGCGGTGGTAGTTGCGTTCCTGAAGAACACGTGCTATGGAAAATTTGCGTTATAATAATATATATTATAGGGGTAAAGCACAGTCCACGATAGCGCTTGAGGTTCGTACGCAGGAGCAACAAAGACTGAGGCGCATGGGTAGCATCCAGAAGGATCCAGTAGCATCCCGCCTTGTGCGATGCAACACCAAGGCAGCTGTACTTCCGATTATTCCTACTCGCGCGACGTAGTTCCATTCACTTAATTGCTTCATATCCAATTCGCAAGGATAATTATTGGCATGTACGGGGCCCTTACTTAAATTAATTAAGCGATAAAAAGTGCCTTGAATCTCACCTCGACTGTTCTAGTGAACTACTATGGTGTAGCCAGGAGAACCCCCATTGGCAGCTATCTCTGTGCAGCACAAGGTGAACGCAGCAGCGGCCTGTAAGTGGGAATTAGTCTGCCAGTAGGGGGCGATGTTGCGGTGTGGCTTTTCCCAATTTAGTATTTCGGTGACCATGATGGTAATGCCATTGGTTGTGATGAAAATTCTGGTGTTAGTGGTGATGATGACGTTGGTGACGCCATCGGTGGTGATGCCATTAGAGGTGATGAAGATGCCGGCCAATTAATAACGTCGGTGGGGTAAATTGCGGATCTTCCCACATTCTTAGGTGGCGTGGAATGGGACCATTGATGTGAACCGAGCGAGATGAGTTTCTGCCATGGCTAATCACAGTTGCAAGGGATAACCGGTACCGGCCCTGCCTCTCCCCAAGATCGATTCGGCTTTAAATGAGTTCCCCGGTGTGTCAAAAACATTGGCACTGGGGGACACAATGGTAGCTTGGCATGGTCCTGGACACACCACCCCCTTTTGCGCGATAGGGGGCCATCCATTTAGTACGTACGCATGGAGGGGGGAGGGGGGAGGGGGGGTTAACCCAAATGCGTACGCTTGCGTATGGGAGATCTACTGACAATGTACGTACACATAGGAAACGGGGGGGGGGGGGGGGAGCCTCGATAATTATAATGTGTCTACATTGGCCTTCAAATTAGTTAGATAGTCTGGCGGTGGACTATTGCTTAAACACGTTAATAGTGTAGAGACACAAATAGAGGTCACTGCGTTGTTGCGCCAGCCACGGGAGCCTCCATTGGTGGTTTGAGGGACACTGGAGTGGGGAGTTCCGGTCTTGATACAGCAGGGGGCACGGCCGAGGGCGGGGCAAGGCTGCGGCCAAGGAAATAAAGGGGGAGCGCCGAGGGGATTCGGGGCTCGTTTGTGGGGATCAACTGAAAGGTCTTGGCCCTTCACTCCTCGTTCGTCGTGCAGTCTTGACTGGGATTCGTGAGTCAGGCAGCATGTGTGCTGCTGACCCGTTCGTTTAGTTTAACTCGCACGCACATAGCGACAGATAGCCACACCTAGCTAGAGGACTCGGAGTGTTCATAGTTTGTTTATTAAACGTGTTGCCTCCAACTTATAGTGTGTGCGCCTCCGTGTATGTTACACACTACACTGGCGTCAGAAATCCTTAATCCTTGATCGTTTCTGCGTGGATTAAGTATCGGCCGTTCTATAGGATTCGGGGGGGGGGGGGGGGGCGTCAAGTGCATGTACGCAGGTGGGGGGGGGGGGGGGTGTAAAAAGTACGCGTGCGTACAGGGAGGGGGGGGGGAGGGGTCAAGTTTTGGCAGATTTTTGCGTACGTACTAAATGGATGGCTCCTAGGTGCTCGCTAACAGCACTTTTACCCAACAGCCTGTGTAACTATGATTCCAAGGGGGGGGGGGTCTTGTGTGTTTACTTTTGTAGATGGGCGGGGGCTCCCTGCTCGCCGTGCTGTCGCGCCACTACCAGGACGTGTCGTGCGTCTGCTTCTCTGACGACGGAAGCCACTTCGTGTCGGGGGGCAGAGACAATCTGGCGCTCGTGTGGAACGTGGGCAGGTGCGTGCACGTGCGTGTTCGTATGTATACGCGAGACAGCGGTTAGAGCAGTATGGGGATGCGCGGCTCTGAATGTTGGACCACAAGGGGTGAGGATTGTGAGGTGGATCTCGGGGGATCACAAGACTGGATCGTAAGAAGGCATGGAAACCCCATGGGAAGAAGGAAGGTGATAAACACGGAGCCACCAGGGCGGAGACTGATGGACAGGCCTAGTAAGGGGTGGATCGAAGTGGTGAGACCAGGACGTGAAGGACTGGAGTGGACAGGGATGTGATGAGCCAGGGCAGGAATGAGCGAAGGAGGACCAGGAAGGCAGAGCCCACATGAATGGGAATAACATCATGGAGAAGTGAATAATGTATTATCGCATTGACGACGTCGTAGTTGTGTTTGCGGTGTGCAGTGTGGTGCAGGCAGGCAGTGCGGAGCCGCGCCACGTGTGGTCCCAGCACACGCTGCCCATCACAGACTTGCAGTGTGGCGCCGGGGGGCCGCTGGCCCGCATTGCCACCGCCTCTCTCGACCAGACCGTCAAGGTAACCGTTCCGGAGCTCCCACGGCAACCACTGTCACGGCAACCACTGTCACGGCAAACCACTGCAACGGCAAACCACTGCAACGGCAACCACTGTCACGGCAACCACTGTCACGGCAACCACTGTCACGGCAACCACTGTCACGGCAACCACTGTCACGGCAACCACTGTCACGGCAACCACTGTCACGGCAACCACTGTCACGGCAACCACTGTCACGGCAACCACTGTCACGGCAACCACTGTCACGGCAACCACTGTCACGGCAAACCACTGCAACGGTGGCCGTGTAGACACGATTGAGTGGTACTAATGTGGCGGCGAAGTGAACAGTGGTAATGATGTCGGTGGTGGTGAAGGAGGTGGTGAAGTGAGCGGTGGTGGTGATGTAGGTGGTGGTAGTGGTGGTGATGGAGGTGTGGTGATGTGAGCGGTGGTAGCGATGGAGGCAGTCAAGGCATTGGAAGTGGTGGTGCTGATGGTGATGCGAGTAATGGGGTCCGTGTTGATAGTGGTGGTGATCGTGTTATTGGAGCTGAACGTGATGTAAGTGATGGTGGTGATGGTGTCACTCGAAATGACGCTGATGAGAATGATGATGATGATGGTGGTGATGGTATTGATGGCGGTCAAGGGTGATGGCGGAGGTATCGACACTACTGAGATACCGCCGTACTCGGTGCAGGTTCTGGTGGTAGTACAGCTGCTGTTGGCAGTGCTGCCTGTGATAAGTGTAATTGCTAAGAATGCCAGTAGTGTTAATGTAAGTTTCTGGTGTTGATGGTGGTTGTGTATCTTGCTGATGATGGTGCTGGATGTGCTAATGTGAGTTGCTGGTGCTTCTGTCCCAGCTGTGGGAGCTGGCGTCAGGCCGCCTGCTGCTGTCGGTGCTGCTTTCCGTGGGGCTCACGGCGCTGGCGCTCGACCCGGCTGAGTACCACGTGTTCTGCGGTGGCGTGGACGGTGCCATCTACCGCATCAGCCTCTACAACACGGTCTGTGGAGCTGTGACTACCACCGCCACCAGCACCACATCCGGCACTAACATCACCGCCACCATTGCCCCCACCACCACCGCCGCCACCATGCTCATCATCACCATCACCACTGCTGTGCCAGCGCACAGTGCCATGGGAATGGCAACCACTGCCACCGTCTTCATCACCATCGCTACTGCCACCATTGTAACCGACACCATGATTACCACCGCTGCCACTATAATCAGGACCACCACAACCATGATTACAAACACCATTACTGCCGCCACTACCACCACTTTCAACTGCACCACCGCCATCTTCACTGCCGTCAGCTTCACCACTGCTGTGTTGCTGTTGACGACGGCGACGATGGTGATGACGGCGATGGTGATGACGGCGATGGTGATGTTTTGCGTAGAACCACGAGCGGACTCTGCGGGTGAACGAGGACGATGAGGAGGCGGTGTTTCGAGGACACACGTACGTATCTCTCAAGGATTCTGCCGCGAGGGATCGTGGTAACCCACGATTCTGCTGTGAGATGCGAGTTTGATTCCGCTCTGTGCGACAGCCACTGGCTGCTGCTGACTTAATTCATACTCTGCTCCCCGTATGTTTGTCTGTGTGCATGTGGGGATTGGCACAATGGGTGGCACAGGTGGTGCATCTGCCAGTCATCTGAGTCGGTCAACCCCATGGCAGCTGGATCTGTCCCATAACCTACCGTCAGCGAGCCTTTGACACTTTACGTAGACTCAAAATGCACCTGGCCTGGCACAGGTGCCTTGGTGACATCACCGCCACTTATTGGCGAATGGTGGAAATTAGTATTGGGGTAATGGTAGTGTAGCGGTTAGCGCAGTGCTCTATGAACCCGGTTTAATTTCCACTCATGACCAACAATGACGACGAATATCTGAACCGGTCCTGGGCCTCTCCGAGGTTGAATCGGCCTCAAATGAGTACCTGGTGCGATGTGTAAACATCAGCAATGGGGTGACAAAAGTGGCTGGGTACAGTGCTGGCCAATGACTCCCTCGTGCGTCGTTCTGGCCTTCACCATAGGTGCGCGCTAATAGCACTTGCCCCAAAATTCTGTTAAACGCTATACAGGTGATCTCTATCTTTGTGTGCAGCGGTGAGGTGCGCTGTCTGTGCGTCACCATGGACGGGTCCCTGCTGGTGTCGGGCTCCCAGGACCACAAGGTGTGCGTGTGGGACGTGGCGAGCCGACAGTGCCTCCGCACTATTACCATGAAGGGTACGCCTACACCAAACATCAACATCCACCATCCTCAAATAAGTGGTGATGACGTCACCATCACCGCCGCTCGCACACACTCGCTTTTATCCAGTCGGTCTCTCGCTCGATCGGTGCTCCTTGGCACTTTCTCGCTCACACCCTCTCTACTCTCGCTCGCTGTCAAGTGCACGTGTATTTGTTTAACAAGGCGAGACCTCAGGAGACCAGGATAATCTAGTTTACGACATTTTGATGGAAGCGTGATTTATGGACATTTGTGAAGCGATAGAATTGCAAGTCTTGATTTGAAGCTTTCGTGACTGCAGGAATTCATTTTCTTTGGTTCTTTTGGTAAAATCACGTAGGTAGAAAATTAATAATAGATCACGACGTTTCGATCGCAACACAAGCAACCGTCATCAGGTGTGAAACAACACAGCAGGAGGACTGCTGACGTAAATCAGCAGTGCAAGTGTTTGTGGTTATCACCGACACGCACACTCTCTCACCCCTCTTCACCCTCGCTTGATTTCACCCTTGCCCGCCCTCTCAACCCGCTCACTCCCTCACCCCTCTCCCTTGCTCGCTCGCACCCTCTCGCACACACTCACCTCTGCACCCTCTCTACCCTCTCTACCCTCGCTTGCTCATTCTCATTCCCGCCTCCACTCTCGCTCACTTGACCTAACGCCCACTCGCCTCTTGTCCGTCGGCGCTTTCCTCTGCTCTCGCCCCTCTCTGTGTTCACTCTCTCGCTACCTTCGCCATCGCTACCTTCCGCAGGCCCAGTAACCAATGCGCTGCTCGTGCCGCCGCTGCCGGGCCTCGTGGACAGCGAGCCGAGGCCGGCGCTCACTCTGCCTCGGCTGGCGCGGCATCTGGCGGGTGCCAGCGATGACGGTGCTGGGGAGAGCGGCGCCGTAACCGTGAGGTCGGCGAGGTCGCGACACATGGTGAGGTCACATGGGGCGGGGAGGGGGGGGGGCGAGGGACGGCGGATTGGATGGAAGGGCGACGTTCAGTGGAAAGATGGATCGGTTTATCGATTAAAATCAATTCTTACGCTACACAAAACGTGCGTCTGATCGTGCGTGTAAGAATGTTTTATTATTCATGTAAATCACGCAACTGATGTTCCTTGACAGGTCATTGGAGGCAAAAATAATACTATAAACGATACAAATGAGACGACGTACAATAGATTCTTGAATAGGATGATTCTGAATCGAGCTGATTTAATGGGATCGGTGAGGGGGTTCAATCATTAGAGACCCCGAGTTCCTCGACTTCCGGCCACGGCCTGGGCCCGCGCTGCGGCGACAGCGCGAGTCTGCAAGGGTTCTGCCTTCTGAAGCCAAAGTCCTCTTCACGATCTCCTCCCTCGCCTTACGAGTGACGGCCCGTCGACGCGGCAGGTTTTTGTGCGGGTGTCTTTAAAACGCTGCGTTTGTCCAGTCAGGGAGCGCAGGAACACACGCTGCTGCAGGAACTGAGCGAGCTGCGCGGTGCCATGCAACATGGAATCGAGACGGTAGAGACGACTTTCTGTTACCCCCTCTCCCATTGCTGCCTTGTTCCCGCTGCCCCCCTCCACTGCTGCCCCCTTCCTGCGGCCACCTTACACTGCTGCTACTGGACATCTGTGAAAAAAGCTTTATAGCTCATCGGATTCCTCCAGTATAAATCAATATTCTGATTCTGCCTCCCATCATACTGCTCCCTTCCACTGTTTGCCCCCCCCTCCCCCCGCTTCTGCTGCCTCTTGTCTGCTACTGCCACCTTCCTGTTGTCCCGTGCTACTGCTGCAACCCCTTCTGTCCCCCTGCCTGCTGCCCCCTTTCTACTGTTGCCCCCCACTCCTGCTGTGGCCCTCCCCCCGCTGCGGCTCCCCTATTGCAGCCACCCCCACCTCTTCTTGCTGCCAGCACCCTCGTGTATTCTACATGGTATGTTCATATATGTATTTTGTATTTGTGTCATGTACATGGTGTGTGTATAATTAACATGGTGTGTGTGATGTACGTGGTGTGTGCCAATTACACCAAGAGTCTGTTAAAGGCTACGTGGGGGATCTTTGTCTTCGGTGTGTGTGTGTGTGTGTGGTGTTGAACGTGGTTGTGCTATGTGGGATGCAGGATGGGCTGACAGATCCCGAGGGTCGGCGCCTTCTCGCCTCGGAGCTGCAGGAGGAGGTGCACCGCCTGCGCGCAGCCAACACCGACCTCTACAAATTCGCCAGCACCCAACTCCACCCAATCTGACAGTGCTGCAACCAGTACCCACCCACAATGCCTCGCGTGCTCCACCCCGTAACCACTGCCGGCCTGATGCGGCCGTCGGTCCTTCGATCAGCTTTTTTTTTACGTGAAACTGTGACGGCTTTGCATCGGGGGCTCATTGTCACAGCCGTGTCCCCATGCGGCTCTGCCGCCGCTCGGAGCTGTGGGAACGAGCGCCTCTCTCGTGCTACGCGCGAGGCCTCTGTGAGGAAGGCGATGGAGTGAGGGACCGAGGTGAACTGTGAATCTCCCCGCGCGATTGCAAAGTGTGGAGGTGTCATTTGTTTTTGAGCAGCATTTGCACATCGCCGGGACTCGATTTTCTCAAAGCGTTTTTTAAATCGTTTACATTCTTAAGAGTTCTGTAAGTGTCTGTTTGCACCATATGCCAAGGATTTCAAAATTAAAGCCTGGAAGCTGCTGTGGTTCTGTGTTTGTCAATCGGAGGGTTTCGGCCCTGGTGGTTAATTGGGCCCGAGTAAGGCAGGGCTCGCCCTGGTGAAGGCGCCAGCATATAGCCACAATGGGAGTGGGGACGTTGGCCCTGGCCCCCCAACTCCCGGCCTAATAAATCGTGGCCGGACACAGTGTCGTGAAGAATCAACTCTTTAAGAGAATCCGATTACATATTTTCGTCGATTACGATAACGTGGCAATCATTGCCCCCTAATCCAAACTTCTAAAACAGTGCAGGCCTTGAAAAACCACACGTGTAAAAAACCAGCAGCAGTTCCTGAAGAAGTCCGCACCTCTGATTAGCACGGTTGGCTATGTACGGTGCGAAAGAAGTTCGACATACAAGTCCATTGTGGTATGCTTGTGTTAGGTCACCAAGATAAATTTTATTGTGACTGACAGGCAGCAACCGCAGTTCTAGACAGGCACCTAGAGAGTCTACAATGTCCCCCTCTTGTCTTGCCCTGGGGTATGAGTAACCCACCACTTTCTGGGAGGTTCGCCCAGGCAGGACACGAGGATCAGCTGGCAGTGCCTTCCCTCTTTCTCAGCCCCGTTCACTTTTACATAGCCACTAAGACAAAGATCCCCCGTATAGCCTGAACAGACTGTTGGGGCAAGTGCTGTTAGCGAGAAGCACTTTTGAAGGTCGGTACGGCACAAGAGGGCGTGGGTGGCCAAACACCACGCCCGGCCGCCTTTGTCTTTTTAGTGGCGATGCTTACTACACACCGCACCAGGTACTCATTTGAGGCTGAGTCGACCTAGGGGAGGAGGCCCAGGACCGGTTCAAAATAATGGTCACTGGTGTGGGGAGGGGCTGGGTGGGGAGGGTGGGGCTGGGTGGGGAGGGGCTGGTCACCCCGTGGTGCCCTTATAAAACTCAACGTTTAACCTACTCACGCCGGCTTGTGCCCGCCCTCACAGTCGGGCATATTTGCGGAATACACCACGCCGCCGTTGACCCTGCAGGCCATTGACCGAGCAACCCAACGTTCCTACCAGCTCCCTCCGCAGGAATGTGTTTAATTGCCATAATTTTATTAAAGTTATCTGACCCCTGAGTAAGATGGCGTTAATGTGTGTCTGTTGAACTTCTTTTGCACCGTACGTAGCTAACCCCATTACCCCGATATGTAATACATCCAATTTTTCCCCTTTTAAAGCCACGGTGTTACACAAGCGAACGCGTCGAGTTGCTTCGTTATTTGTGCGCGCCAATGAAGAATAATACAATTTAAAATTTCCATAAAAAATGTTGACTTTTAAAAGTTTCATTATCTGAACCCTGAGTAAGATGGCCGTACGGGTGTATCACTTCTTTTGCACCGTACGTTGCCTTAGCATTAACCCCGATGCGTAATACATCGTATTTTTCCCACTTTTAAACCCACAAGCGTCTAGTTGTTTGTGGCTTGTGGGCGCCAACGCAGAATAATAACATTTTAAATTTCAATAAAAAATGTTTTGACTTTTAAAGTTCTCTGACCCCCGAGTAAGATGGCGCCGATCGCAGCACAGCGATGACGTCATCAGAATTCGTACGTTACAAATCGTAGTTCGCATGCGCTACGGATAAGGGACATTTCCCGAAACGTCGCCTATTATATGTATATATATCTTGTACTGTCTCTCTTTGAAAGGCCACGCGTGTTACTGCCGAACGTGTTTGCGTGGTTTGTTTGTTTGTTGTTGCTGCTGTTGACGTTTGGGCGTCTTGCGTATGTGAACTACGGAATTGGAGTGCGCGCGGCGGCCTCCGTAGGCGCGAAAGGCAGCGACATGGCGAGCGGCCCGTCACAAGGTGAGGGGGAAACATCAACAACATCAACAACGTCAACAACGTCAACAACATCAACAACGTCAACAACGTCAACAACAACAACGTCCACATCAACAATAACATCATCACCATCGTCATCAACATCATCATCACCATCATCATTACCATCATCATCATCACCATCATAATCATCATCACCACCAACATCATCATCACCATCATCATCAACATCATCATCATCAACAGCATCATCATCACCATCATCATTACCATCATCATCATCACCATCATAATCATCATCAACATCATCATCACCATCATCATCACCATCATCAACATCACCATCATCATCATCAACAGCATCATCATCACCATTAACATCACCATCATCAACAACATCATCATTACCATCATCACCATCATAATCATCATTAACAGCATCGCCATCATCATCAACATTACCATCATCACCATCATCATCAACATTACCATCATCACCATCAACATCGTCACCATCATAATCATCACCATCATCAACATCATTACCATCAACATCATCAACAACATTACCATCATCAAAACATCAACATAATCATCATCAACAACATCATCATCACCATCAACATCATCAACAACATCAACAACATCACCATCATCACCATCATCATCACCATGATCAATATCATCATCACCATGGTAGTGTGGAGTTTGTGTGATCTCCCCCTGTCCTACAGAGTGAGTGGAGTTTGTGTGATCTCCCCGTTCTACAGAGGGAGTGGAGTTTGTGTGATCTCCCCCTGTTCTACAGCGCAAGTGAGTGGAGTTTGTGTGATTTCCCCCTGTCCTACAGAGTGAGTGAGTGGAGTTTGTGTGATCTCCCCCTGTTCTACAGAGTGAGTGGAGTTTGTGTGATTTCCCCCTGTTCTACAGAGTGAGTGAGTGGAGTTTGTGTGATCTCCCCCTGTTCTACAGCGCAAGTGAGTGGAGTTTGTGTGATTTCCCCCTGTCCTACAGAGTGAGTGAGTGGAGTTTGTGTGATCTCCCCCTGTTCTACAGAGTGAGTGGAGTTTGTGTGATTTCCTCCTGTTCTACAGAGTGAGTGAGTGGAGTTTGTGTGATCTCCCCCTGTTCTACAGCGCAAGTGAGTGGAGTTTGTGTGATTTCCCCCTGTCCTACAGAGTGAGTGAGTGGAGTTTGTGTGATCTCCCCCTGTTCTACAGAGTGAGTGGAGTTTGTGTGATCTCCCCCTGTTCTACAGAGTGAGTGAGTGGAGTTTGTGTGATCTCCCCCTGTTCTACAGAGTGAGTGGAGTTTGTGTGATCTCCCCGTTCTACAGAGTGAGTGGAGTTTGTATGATCTCCCCCTGGTCTACAGCGTGAGTGAGTGGAGTTTGTGTGATCTCCCCCTGTTCTACAGAGTGGAGTTTGTGTGATCTCCCCCTGTTCTACAGAGTGAGTGGAGTTTGTGTGATCTCCCACTGTTCTACAGAGTGGAGTTTGTGTGATCCCCTCCTGTTCTACAGAGTGAATGGAGTTTGTGTGATCTCCCCCTGTTCTACAGAGCGAGTGAATGGAGTTTGTGTGATCTCCCCCTGTTCTACAGAGTGAGTGAGTGGAGTTTGTGTGATCTCCCCCTGTTCTACAGAGTGGAGTTTGTGTGATCTCCTCCTGTTCTCCAGAGTGCGTGAGTGGAGTTTGTGTGATCTCCCCCTGTTCTACAGAGTGAGTGAGTGGAGTTTGTATGATCTCCTCCTGGTCTACAGAGTGAGTGGAGTTTGTGTGATTTCCCCCTGTTCTACAGAGTGAGTGAGTGGAGTTTGTGTGATCCCCCCTGTTCTACAGAGTGAGTGAGTGGAGTTTGTGTGATCTCCCCCTGTTCTACAGAGTGAGTGGAGTTTGTGTGATCTCCTCCTGTTCTACAGAGTGAGTGAGTGGAGTTTGTGTGATCTCCCCCTGTTCTACAGAGTGGAGTTTGTGTCATCTCCCCCTGTTCTACAGAGTGAGTGGAGTTTGTGTCATTTCCCCCTGTTCTACAGAGTGAGTGGAGTTTGTGTGATCTCCTCCTGTTCTACAGAGTGAGTGGAGTTTGTGTGATCTCCTCCTGTTCTACAGAGTGAGTGAGTGCAGTTTGTGTGATCTCCCCCTGTTCTACAGAGTGAGTGAGTGGAGTTTGTGTGATCTCCCCCTGTTCTACAGAGTGAGTGAGTGGAGTTTGTGTGATCTCCCCCTGTTCTACAGAGTGACTGGAGTTTGTGTGATCTCCCCGTTCTACAGAGTGAGTGGAGTTTGTGTGATCTCCCCCTGTTCTACAGAGTGAGTGAGTGGAGTTTGCGTGATCTCCCCCTGTTCTACAGAGTGGAGTTTGTGTCATCTCCCCGTGTTCTACAGAGTGAGTGGAGTTTGTGTCATTTCCCCCTGTTCTACAGAGTGAGTGGAGTTTGTGTGATCTCCTCCTGTTCTACAGAGTGAGTGGAGTTTGTGTGATCTCCTCCTGTTCTACAGAGTGAGTGAGTGCAGTTTGTGTGATCTCCCCCTGTTCTACAGAGTGAGTGGAGTTTGTGTGATCTCCCCCTGTTCTGCAGAGAGTGAGTGGAGTTTGTATGATTTCCCCCTGTTTTACAGAGTGAGTGGAGTTTGTGTGATCTCCCCCTGTTCTGCAGAGAGTGAGTGAGTGTAGTTTGTGTGATCTCCCCCCTGTTCTACAGAGTGAGTGGAGTTTGTGTGATCTCCTCCTGTTCTACAGAGTGAGTGAGTGGAGTTTGTGTGATCTCCCCCTGTTCTGCAGAGTGAGTGGAGTTTGTGTCATCTCCCCCTGTTCTACAGAGTGAGTGGAGTTTGTGTGATCTCCCCCTGTTCTACAGAGTGAGTGAGTGGAGTTTGTGTGATCTTCCCCTGTTCTACAGAGGGAGTGGAGTTTGTGTGATCTCCCCCTGTTCTGCAGAGTGAGTGAGTGGAGTTTGTGTGATCTCCCCCTGTTCTGCAGAGAGTGAGTGGAGTTTGTATGATTTCCCCCTGTTTTACAGAGTGAGTGGGGTTTGTGTGATCTCCCCCTGTTCTGTAGAGAGTGAGTGAGTGTAGTTTGTGTGATCTCCCCCCTGTTCTACAGAGTGAGTGGAGTTTGTATGATCTGCCACTGTTCTACAGAGTGAGTGGAGTTTGTGTGATCTCCCCCTGTTCTGCAGAGAGT